TGGATTGCCACCGGCACAGTTGAGGTACAAAGATCTCTAGCAGAAAGTTTCCTACTTAACATCGATGTATACTAAGGTGACCCAATAGCAACAATTCTTTTTAATTTCTCAATTGAATGGGCAGTGAGAAATATACAAACGAACCTCGGAGGAATGTCCAAAACAGGCTTAGCCAAAACCCAAATCATACTAATGTCAACATCATGACCTGATCTGAATGAATTTAAAGAAAATAAAATACATGAAGATTTCCACCACTATCCATGGCAACCTTCAGGATCAAGAAATATAATTTTCCAGTCTGTTGTGAATTTAAGTATTACAGCGTCATGATAACAGAAGACAATGACATGACATTTGAAACAAAAGCAACCATAATTATTAGAAACAAATGCTCATGAAATTTGAATAAATTCAGTTTACAAAACAATAATATATACCCTGTGGTCACGTACGTACATGGTATATGCATAAATGATATGGTAGTGAGACATGAACTCTGACCTCTACAAGTGAGCGACTCCTGAATTGCTGGGATCATAAGAATTTTTATAAAATCTTTGGCCACATTCGAGAAAGTAGTTTATGGATTATCCAAAGGAGTGTTGGACTGAGACGTTTGTATGGCAAGCCTTACTCTGAGCAAAGCCTTAGTCATAGACTCCAATAACAATAAAGCATAAATAATTAAATACCATAAAAATCTTTAATCACTCCCTTAAAAAACTTAATAAAGGATTTACAAACAGAAAATCTGTAATAGTAGTAAACATTATTATGAATATGCAATAACAAACGTCAGATAATTAATTCCTTAATAGGACCCTCAAAAACTTTTTTTATAAACTCCCACAATTTTTGCAAATTCAACCAAGAGTATGTGTTTGGTGTTGTAGCGTGCTATACTGTCTTCAGTCAATTTTTTTTTTTTTTATATTGTTCGTGCATTTATTTGGTTGTCACCAATTTGATTTAAGTTGCTTTTTGCCCTGATGATGCCTGAATTGGTTAAATGTTGAAGGGTTATGTTAACTTGCATTTTAGAAACTCTAGGCTTTGTGCTTTGTGCATTTTTTCCACTAATTTTCCAATTAGATTCTAAAAACTAATTTATGTTTCTTTTTGAGTTTTCATTCTTTTATATTCATTAATTGAAATTTAAAACTCTATTTACAACATAAAAAAGCAAACATTATAATACTTGTGTTAACATAACATAACTTAAGAATAAGAACCTTTCCGATTAATAGTATTCCAAAAAAGTAAAATCATACTAAAAATAGAAAACCATCTGATTATAATTAATAATAGTAAATATTCTTTTTTCTTTAAATATACAAATAAACAAAGACCTTATCAAGCTTAAGCAGTTTATTAAATAATGATATAGTTATAATAAAATCGGATAAAACTAAAAAAATAGCAATACTCTATAAAAAGATTACAATGACAAAATGGAGGAACTATTAAGTGACAAAAACACTTATAGGAAAATAAGGAACAATCCGATACCTGAAATAAATACTAAAGTCAATACATATGTTAATAAACTCCATAAGCTAGGGTACATAGACAAATTCAGTAAAAATAAAGCTTCAGCCTCAGACTCCACTACACCTAGAATATATGGCCTCATAAAACTACACAAAACTGAGAACAGATTAAGACCCATAATAAACAATATAGATGGACCAACTGAAGCTCTTTCCAAATTCCTAAACCCATCCCTCAACTCTCTCAATAATAATAATAACTTTGACATCAAAAATGCTAAAGAATTGAAAGAAATAATTAAAAATTTCCAATGTGAGTTAAAAGATATAGAAATTATAAGTTTAGATGCTGAGTCACTCTTTACTAATATCCCATTAGATGAATGTATAATAATTATTGACGACAACTGGAACAGTGTAAAAAGTGAAACCAAAATTAAAGACAAAAGAATATTCATCGAAGGAATAAATCTCTGTACAAGAAATAATTATTTCAAATACAATAATGAATTTTATAAACAACTTTGGGGAGTCAGGATGGGAAGTACACTGTCAACGAATTTAAGTGGCATATTTTTAAACAAACTGATCACAACACAACTAACTAACTTAGAACAAAAACCACTATTAATAAAAAAATACATAGATGACTTACTACTCATAATAAAAAAAGATTCGGAAAATGAAATAATGAAAAGCTTCAACCAGTACAACAAAAGAATCAAATTTACAATAGAAAAAGCCACAAACAATAGACTCAGATTTTTGGACATGGACATAATTTTGGACAAAGGACAGATACTTACCAAATGGACAAAAAAAGAGAATACCAGTAATAGAATCCTTAACTTTAGCTCAAACCATCCCAAACATCAAATAATTAATACAGCCAAGAACCTAATTCACAAATCAATAGAACTCACTGACAAACCTTACATCCCACAAGTAAAAACAGAAATATACAAAATACTTATCGAGAACTTTTACCCTATAAACTTAATCAACAAACTTTGGTACAGTCGATTACATACAACACTACACCATAACAAAAATAGAACCAAAAAACAAACAATACAAAAGACACCAAAAGAAAACATTACAATAAGGAAACCTGCACAACAATTCATCACCCAATTTTTTGGAAAAACAAATCCAACAAACGAGAACAATCAGGACAACATATCACAAACAAACAAAATGGACTTTAACTACTACTACAAAATGACATACATACCTGAACTTACTAACAAAATTAAAGACGTGTTCAAAAATTATGACTTAACAGAAATTAAACTCGGACAATATAATAACAAGAAACTAAGCAGGCACATCACCAACACAAAGGATAAAATAGAACCAATAAATCAAGAAAAATGTAATATATAAATTAAACTGTCAAAACTGCCCCAAAATCTACATTGGTGAAACATCCAAGCAATTAGGAACTAGAATCTCACAACATATCACCAACTGTAAAAATACAAAAAACATAAACACAACAGCCTTAGCACATCACAGTATAAAAGTATAGCATAAATTTAACTTTAACAAACCACAGATAATAGGCACAGAACCAAAAAACACCAATAGGAAATTACTTGAAGCAATACACATCACAAAAAACAACAGAACAACAGTCAACTACAAAACAGACACTAAACATTTAGGAACTCATTATACGGACATATTGAACAAAATTAAAATTTAATAGAAGTGAAATTACAGATACATAAAATAAACATTAACAACAATAGTATAAAAATAGTCAGATAAAACAGTCAGATCCAAAGGTCAATTTTTTCACTATGGCAGACACCCAATTATTGGTCAAAAGCAGGATGTCGCTCTAGATGATACATTTTATAACATGAATAAGAAATTTGACGATGGAGCACATTATTATTAATTTTAAGGTAATTAAAAATTTATTGTAACAACAAAATTCAAACATGTAATGTAACAAGCACAATATTATAACTCAAAAATTTTTTTAGCCTTGCATCCACAAGATTATTGGGATTGCAGTTCCGAAGATGGGAGTAAATATCCCGAAACGTCAACTAACTAGTTAACATGTAACGTTGATAATATAAATGTACTCAATTGCTACCAATTGGAAATTATTATTGCCAAATAACTAAAAGTAAATATTATATTACTCAAATATTCCATTGTATATTTATAGTAATTATGGACAAACAATATTTCTATTAACTCATTTTACCTCAGTAATTTTATTATTAGATAAGCCAAAGTTAAAACCGAGAAAGTTCAAAACTATTGAAATAACTCAATAAAAGTTATTTATTATTATTTTTCTGCATTTTAAAATAACGCAATGATAATTAATTAGTTTTTATAGCCAGAGCAGAAGAATTTACAGAGAAACATTATAGCAAATTTAACAATAACAGAAGTTTAAACCGACCGAAGTCAAATCTATAATTAACAGATTAACAAAATATAGATAAAATTGGATTGTAACATACTTAAGGAACCAATAAAACCATACTTATGTAGGGTTCCATGCCGAGATATTGAAAGAAATCAAGGAAAGTTTCTATAAGATGGAAAAGAAAAAATATTATTGGATTTATTTGTACATCATGAAATTTCAGTGATTATGATATCCTTCTGAGCAAAGATTCAAAAGGAAATAACAAATCTTTGCTTTAGCAATGTGATACACAAACATAAAAAAAAAAAACACATAGAAAAAAATAATGCCATCACCATTATACCTACTCAGATACCACAAACACAATACTGGAATGGAAAGATATGAAATTTATATTTGTATATTAATATCTAGTCTGGATGTTTTCAGGAAAATTTCCAATAATTCATAGTGATATTTTTTATCTTCCTAATATACATATTTTAATTATACTATTAATTTGTCATTTCATATCCTGAAATTTATATTTCATCTTCAATAAATAAAACATAATTGAAAACCACAAAACATAATAGTTTTCTTGTAGCATAATAACATTGATTAAATTCACTCACAATTAGATGGCAGCTCTAGGGCATACTCAGCACCAAGTTGAAACTAATATTTTTTTGTTTTAATTTTATTTTCAAAATATTCATAAAATACATAAATTTCTAGAAGATATTGTAATCTCATGATAAATTTATCAGCTGAGCGTGATCCTGGCCCAATCACCTCCATGTAGAACCATTGGCCTTGAAATAATAAATAAATACTTCCTGACAAAGTACATACCTACAAAGTACAACTACAAGACCCTTCATGGGTTGCAGTGGTACAGATTTTTAAGATATTTATGCAATTTGTAAATGCTTTCAAAATAAAATTGGAGAGCAAAGAAATAAAGATATTAGTTTCAACCAAGTGCTGTTTGAGTTCACCTTCAGCATCCATCTAATTGTAGTCAAACTATAGCATCAATTATCAGTATAAAATAAAATTCTCATCTGTGTATAATTAGCTAAAAAAAGATGTGGTTTCATTAATAATATACTGATTTGAGAACATACCTGCTTTAGAAATGTAGGACTAAAATAATGTTTTTCTAATGTTTCAATAGCATAGTGCATCCTGTACCGCCAATTATTACTTTGAAGAATAGAGGGTATGATAGGCTTGAGATCTTTTCTTTTGAGTTCCTAAAATGAAGGCACATCATTAGTCTTTGTCATATCTAATTGAAATGGCTTGATATTATTATAACCTTATCTTTATCATGAAAACATAGCACAAAAAAAAACAAAAAAAAAAAAACAATAGTTAAATGAATAACACATGCACACACACACTTTTTTAAATATTTGATGACAAATTTAAATAATACAAAGCTAAACTTTTTTTTTCATTAAAAAAGTCAACTACCTTCTATGCTTTTCAGCAACAAAAAATAATAACAAAATATTTTAATGATCACTGGATGCATTATTCTAACATAAAAAAATTATTTGTAAAAATATTTTACTTCAGCTTACTTCTTCAATGGGTATTTCTAATAAAGTTGGTAAGGGTTGAACATTTGAAGTATGATGAGGAAATTTTATAACACGATTTTTATTATTTACAATGACAATTTCTCCTTCAAGACTGGCCAAGGCATTTTGATTTCCCTAAAATAAGAAAAAAAAAGAATTATTTCAAAATAAGTGAACACTAGTTTGATGTTCACAAGACAATTGAAAAATATTTATATAAAATGTAACCTTATTTATAACATAAAAAATATAAAGCATTGTCAAAAATAAATAAGTAAAAAAATTTATTGAGCATAAGGCTGTCTACATATGGAGCTACTCAAATGGAACTGACCACTTATCGCAATTCCCAACCAGTCTGCTATGAGTGACAACCTACAGTGGATCAAAGAAATTTGGCATACTCTAATTTTTATGCAAATCTCAATAGGATTAAGATATTTTTCCTAAATAATATTTATTTAAAAAAGTATCCCTTTAGCCCATTAACCTTGTCATGAAAAAGGGGGTCTAAGTTGCTTCCAATGAGGTTTGAAGATTTCTCTTTTTTTTTCTTGTATGGTATGTGACTAAAATGCAAAATCCAAGTTTTCGACCTCAGCACCCCTTCCTCTCCTCCCTCAATCACTTTTGAAGATCCCAAAGCTGTTATATTTTTTTCATTTTGACTATGAAGAAGCATGTTTTTGACAAAAAACATTCCATACATTTTTAAACTAGACCTAATATATTGTAATGTCAACATTACATAGTGTTTTTGAATATTGGAACGAAGGTGGTAACATCACGAACTACTGACAGGAAGTACAGATGGTGGGAAGCAAACCTCATGGATAGGGCAGAAGGTGACCGACCAGCGAGTGAAGAGGACATAGGTTAAGGAGAAGGTAGCCAGCCGGCTAGGAAACAGGGAACAGTGAGAAGATGTTGGTCTCCAAGTAGTGAGTGTCAACAGTAGAAGGTTGTAGAAGAGAAGTAGCTGCACCACAGGGTGAGTGAAGATTATATAAATGGACAAATCGAACCAAGAATAGACTCCGACAAATTTAATGGAAACCCATAAAAGTGTTGAATAATAAATAAGTGTAATAATTAATGTATGCTTTTATATAGTATAAATGAGGATGTATGTTAGTTGTCAAAACCCAACCTGGGAATTTATATATGTGTGAGAAATAAATGTTATATTGAAAAAGAAAAAGGTTGTTTGCTTTTGGAGGGAAAGAGGACTTTACAACATGCTACAATTTAATACCAGAATAGCCTCGGTAATTTGAATAGATAACTGTTCAAAACTTCATTTACATCAAGTGAATACAAAACTTGTAAATAAAGTGAATGAAATTTTTGAAAATTGAAAATGTTAAGCTAATTTTCTTGTGTTTTTTTTATTAACCTTTCTTATATGAGTTAGTGAATTAAACATTTATTCAATTTAATATTTTGTAAGGAGGAGGATACATGGATATGGGAAAGACGATAAATATTAAGAGATAGGAACCTAATGTTGATTTATGTGAATCTAATATTATAAGCGAATGGAGTGTATAATATTATAAGTGAGCTAGGATGACCTGAGCCATATTTTGTGTTCGAACTTCTTCCTAGTAAACCAGTGGGCAACTAAAAAAAAAAAATTTATTCCACCTTTCAAAATTCTCCTCGATTCAGTTGAACACTGATGTCAGCCCCCTCAATTTCCAAAGTCTTTGGAGTCTGACAGGTTATAAAAGGTTGATTTACTTGTTAATATCATCCATTTGAAATAAGTTATTTGTGACTTAGAGACCCAAAAGTCTTACTATGTTCGAGCTGGGATCGAACATAGTAATAACATAGTCCGCGAGTTTTAAGAGCTAGGCCTCTCTCACACGCACGCACGCACACACACACACACACACACACACACACACACACACACACACACACACACACACACACACACACACACACACACACACACACACACACAGACAGACCATTTTGCTAGACTTGGTTATTTGGACTAAGGAGACCTCAAAACATGTATTTTCATTGAAAACACAGATTAAAAAATTTTCTCGATCGCAGTACTTTCCCTTACTATATATTACATATATAGGTAAGTGAAAGTAAAAATAAGTCTATAATAGTCTATAATGTAGTAACGCCATGAGTAAAGCCAGTGAATATTGAGTCAGTTTAAAAAACACATCATTAAATTACATTATACAGGCATTAGCCACTGACAAATAGTGAATAAATTAGAAATTAATTTTAGTAGTGTTCGTAATATTGTACAAAAGTTTAGAAAGACAGGTTTAATTTCAAACAAATCCCATTCAGGACGGCCATCAAAGTTTAATGAAAGGGTATAAAGGAGTATCCACCGATTGTTGAACAAAATCACACTTCATCCGTTGCCAAGAAGAAGAGGTCACATTCCTTTAAATACAACTTTCTGTTTACTGACCATAAGAAACATAATTCATAAATACAATTATTATGGCAGGGTCCATCTGGTTTAGCGTGCTCCTTCCTCTTCTGAATGTAGCTAGGTAGCAACATTATATTTTTGTAATTCAGATATAACCAGTTTAGCAGAATATTGGTAATTATTTTATAGGCAAGGAGAAGGAGAGTTTACCCCTGCAATTATCATATACATCCTGTACATGCAAGGTACCCTTCTTTGGAATATGGCAAATAAGGGCTGTGTTCCGAACCTCTGGTTTCCTTTCCTCTTCCCATATTTTCTGGGTCAGTTTCACTATAAGCGGGGACTTCTCCCCCATATCTTGTGGGTCGAGGTCCTCATTATGGTTCATGTCCCATTCATTTGTGGGTTCCCCCAAATATATATCAGTGCATTGTCCTTGCTCGATTCACCCAAGTTTCAGTCTCCAATAATGGGCCTAAATTGTGATTCTCCTCCTATCTTGCCATTGAAGTCACCTATGACAAATTGATGTCATGTTTTGGTCCATAACAAAAATCATCTTTTACTTCTTCACCTTTATCTTTGGTTTGTGCATACAGGTTAATAATTGTGGTATTAAACTAATGACCTTTAACTTGCAATATAAATGGGGATAAAGTTTAAGATCAATTAATGATAAATTAGTAAAGTAACTTAAAACCCAATTCCAGCAGTTCCCTATTTATAATTTTTCCCAATCAGAATGGCGTAATTTAAATGAAATACATGATTTTATTTGACGAAATAATAATTGAATACAAAAATAAAATAAAATAATGTTCATATATATATATTGGTTGAAGGTTGTTCGAAATAAATTGGTTATGCCGCATAAATCAAGAAACTGAATCTTCTTCATAAAAGTAACTGAAGGCAGACTGTACTAGTGGATAGCCGGGAACCAACTGACAACTGAACTGAACTGTGTGAACCCAAGGTAAGGCACCAACTGACTTTGTCTGCCCAAAGTGTATTTATAATTTTACATGAAAATTTTGGTATGCGCAAGTTGCTTACGAAGTAGTTGTCACATTTGCTTATACCGGACTATCTTGAGAAAGGCAAAACTATCAATGGTGAATATTACACTTTAAAAAAAAAAATTGCTTTTCTTAAATAGACCGGAGACTTATTGAGTGATGTGTTATATATAAGACATATTTACAAAGTATTTAATAACACAAAAATAATAAATATAAATTAATATAATTTTAATAATCCTTACTGTTGAGTAATGATTGGCACCCCAAGACCAAACTTTTTTTTTTGAGTCAACACAAATTGTAAAGTCATAACCACAAGCAACATCCATAATTTGAATATCTAAAAAATAAAAACATATTAAAAAAAAGAGTTCATGTTTGGTTCTTATAATTATCTGCAAGTACATTAATGGGAGAATATGGTATATAATAAAATGAGCACAGAAAAATTATTTAATAGAATATACAGTCGTGATCATAGAAATTGCATCACCTATTTCTTTTGATTCTTATGGTGATTTCATTGAATTGTTTTTGTTTTTGTTTACTTATTAAGGTTACAAGAAAACTTCAAAAATGTTCCTCAGTTCAGTTTTCACTAATGTCAGGATAAAAGCTGTAATTTGACCTGTATCAAAAACTGTCCTCGTCAGAAAATGTTAAAATTGTGACATTACATGAAGTAAAGGAATTTTCACAGAAAACAGTAATGGGTACCATCAATCAACAGTCATATTTTTAAAAAAAAGAAAAAGAAAAAAAAGGCACCATGGAGCTAAAGAAAAAACTGGGAGGAGAAAAAAAACAAATAAACGATTTGACCTCTTAATGGTGAGATTTTTTTTTTAATATCGTTTCGAAACTGGCAAAAAAATATTCAGATATCTTGCAGATAGCAATCTGGTAAATAAAATAAAATTTAATAACATTTTTACTGGGTGATACAATTTCTGTGAACGTGACTGTTTAACAAAACACCAATGAGAAAGAAATCATACAAATTGAGACTAAAAATTACTTCAACTATCACTACGAATGGAACAATGGAATCACAAAGTGGAGTGCTTGGATTAAAGGAAATTTCAAGATCCCTACTGATGATGACTCCACACGATTGATCCATTTAGGCCATTTAAAAAATGAATGACTCGTAGATATTATAATTCCATTATCTCTGAATATTATAAAAAATCACCAATGCCTACTGCCACCTAGATACAGTCATGAACTGAATGTCCATGAATTTATCAGAAGAGTTCAGAATATAGAGGTTAAGCCAGGAATCTGAAAAGTAGGTGTAATGGGTAGGAAGGAATGACATGAAGGCTGAGAGAGTGGTGGAGATTCGTAAGGTAATTATGATCAGAGGAATGCTTCAGTAGATTGGTGTTAAGTCTCATGAAAAGATGATATTGAAATAGGAAAGGATTATGTTGTACAGCGTGGTCTCAAAAATTCCATCAATAGATGATTATGAAAAGTACGAAGGATGAAATGGTAGAGATCTCAGCAAAAGGATATTCAAGGTGGAGAAAGTTAGAAGGCATGCAACAGAATAAAACAATGAACCAACACTGCTGCTCGTTCTTTTGGTTATGATGGAGGAGAATAATATATATTCTGGGAAGATTAAAAAGAAATAAACATTAAAAACACTAAAGGAGTAAGTATGAAGAAAGCAAAAATCACCACAAACAAAAGATAGTAAGAGTTTAAGTATTGCATGAGATTTATTTTTATTTTTATTCTTGTATTTTATCATATTCTGCAGTTTATTAGGTTATTAGTGCAGGTTAATTTGTTAGCAAATTTGAGCGATTTATTCATACATATATTGGACATAATGCTTTCTAGGGTCTGCCAAGTGTACTCCTGCATCAGGATAGTCTTCATTAAATGTGCTCTGTTGTGTTTATTTATGTTAAAGTTGAATAGGACATGTTGGAATGTTTGTATAATTTATCTTTAACAGTCATGTATTTTTAGGGTGGAAATGTTTCAAATAATGTTTTGTTTGTCTATGACCCATCAGTAATTGATTATGTTTGTGATGTATCCTTCTAGGTTTATCATGGTATTGTGTTGGAATATACTTGTACAAGGGTCATTCATTCTTCACATTGATGATTTCTGTTCACTTGAAAAGCAAAATGATAGTCAATTGCAATCCCTAGTTTTAAGTTATTCAAAGCAATTCTTATGATCGTAAATTTTACCATGTACTGTATTTACTGACCAACAATTATTATTATTATAAAACATCCTAAAAAATATATGAAAAACTTAGCAGTCCATTGTTAATTGGAGTAATCTGCAAAATTCAAAAGCTGATACTAAAAGGAATTTGGTTTGATTTTGATCAAATTTCAAGTAGTTTACATTTAAATCCAATATTTTAAATTTTAAATAATAAATGTAAATTTGTAATATTTTATTAAAAATAATAACTGATACAAGTTATTTGAATAAAGTGAGTTCACTGAACGTTCATATGGGTGATTCTAAAAAAAAAAAAAAATCAATAGTAGTGTAACTGGAGGATTATTCTAATTTTCTATTAGATTAATTAAGTTCTATGAATAAATATATTTTTTAATTTTATACTTCTCATCACTGTCTACAACATCTACAACAATCATTAAAAAAAGTTATTGTTTTTTATAAACATTATTTTTTGTGGTCTTAAAGCCCTCAATTATCATTACTACCACCTGCAAAAATATCAATTTTGCTTAAAAACACTTATCTGAGAATTTGGAATAGGTTATTTTTATGCAAAAAGCTTATAAAACTAAAATAGCACAGCATGCACAATTCAGGAATGAATCATATCTTTTTTTTATGTAACTGGTAATATGAATAACTGATGTGAAAGTTTGTTATTAAAAAATCTCTCATTACCGCCGTGCGTCTATCGATTTTTTTTTTTTGTTTAAGGACATACAAGAGGGAATTTCATGCAACCTGTGTGATCATATTGATATTGTAGGAGTAACACTGCCGAAACATGGGAAACTGGTTTTGAGCCGTTTTTAAACAGTTATTATTTAACTTTCACCGTGGAAAGGTGCTACTCAAGTGTGTATATTTATTAGTCTCATTACTACACTATAATCATTCTTTTGCAATTTTATTTTATATTTTATTGTAATTTCATGGTTTTGTCTTCAAATAAATGCCTTAGCAACTGCGCTTTATTTTCAAATTATCCACCTAACCAATTAGCGTTAGCAACCTCGCAAACTTCATTACCACAGAAAAATCATCGTTTGGTGATAATGATTAAATGTGTGCAATGATAAAAAAACTTTTTAAAGTGAAATATTTCACTATATCAGGAATTTTACAACTTTTTTTAAGGTTTGACTAAGGGGCTCCACCTTCCTAATCTAAATTGTGGATGTCGGAATAAATGACACCATGTTACAAAAAAGAACTTTTTCAGCAAACAAATTTGAAGTTTTTATTTTTGAGAATATCTAATACAATTTTTGCTGGTTCTTAATCAAAGATGGCGGTATAACATTATTTATTTATTAAAATACAAAATAAAATATTGGATTGTCTGCAAAATAATGCAGGATTCTGATTTTTCTTTAAAATACTTCTATATACAACAAACTGATTATGTTTACTGTATTATTCATTTGGATGAATGTCGACACTTATTAATCCTCTTCCAAACGATTATTATTTACCTATGTAGCATTTCGCTGCTTAGAAATAATTCAGTCTTCACTATGATCTAAATGCGTGATTTTCATATAATTTTGTTTTATGAGTTTAAACTCGGCCGGAATGGGGCCCAGACGGACAGAAACATCAATCAAGTCAAGAACAGCATTAGTGAGTGCACAGTTTAAGGGTGGTTCAAAAAATGTTGGGAGGGAGACTTCAGAAAGAAGGTTGTGGAAGAACTTCCTTCCTTGATGACGATGTTCTGCAGGCTTTGGTGGAAGAAAACCCCAGAACAACTGTTCGAGAACTTGCAGGGAAACTTAAGCTTAGCAAATCACCATCGATGACCACCTAGAGGCGATTGGAAAGGTAAAAAACCTTGATAGTGGGGTTTCACATACATTAAATGATCACAAAAAAAAAAAAAAACAGTTTTATGAAGCTTTTTGAGCTACACTATTTTGCCGAAACAAAAACGACCCTTTTCTGTCCAGAATTGTTACTTGTGATGAAAAGCGAATATTTTACGATAACAGTAAACGTTCTGGACAGCGGCTCAACAAAGGAGAAGCAGCAGAACATTTTCCAAAGCCCCAACTCATCAAAAAAAGGAGATGGTTACTGTTTGGTGGGCTTCATTTGGTTTGATGATCAACGCCGAATCGTATTGTAACCAAATTAATACAGTGCATCAGAAATTGGTAATAATGAAGCCATCTTTGGTCAATTGGATGGGGCCTATTTTGTTGCATGACAACGCCCAACCACACATCTCACCTGTGACATCACAAAAACTGTTGGAGCTTGGATATGAAGCTCTACAATATCCACCCAACTCTACGCACCTCTCGCATACGGATTATCATTGTTTTTTTATGGACCACTACTTGCGTGACAAATAACTCAATGGACAAAGGGAATTTGTATTTGAATTTGGAAATTGAAAGAAAATACATTTTTGGAGTTAATCAATTCTAAAGATGGAAAATTCTATTCCGATGTAATGGAAAAGTTGCAAACACCTTGGCAAAAATGTATTGATAGTAGTGGAGAATATTCTGATTAAATAAAACAGTTGTAAGTCTTTCTTTTTAAACCGAAATTCTGCATTATATTCCGGACAACCTAATATTATCAATAAAATAAAATAAAAATGAAATTGGACCGAAAAAATTATTTGAGCTATATCTTACATTGCATATATCATTGGGGTTGGCAAAAAGGACCAATAAGCCCACGTGCTTGACTAAGTCATCCCACCAGTACCAGTACATTGCATATACTTCTTTATGATCCCACAGGAAGCCATATGGAAATTTGGATAATTTTTGAAGATAGTTCACTTACACCAAATTTCAACACCCAAAATAAAACTTTTTTTGAGAATCACTCATATACTTCCAAAACAGAAAAGGAAAGTTTTTTTGAAAAAGAGACAGATGCTAGAAAATTATAAGATATGATTACAAAAGTGCTGATCAGATTTACAGAACAAATTTGAAAATTGACAATGTCGAAACAAAACTGGGTCACTTGTTGAGATCACATACTAGAAATGAAAATAAGGTCAATAAATTTCAGAGACACTAAAATTAATTTTTAAAGAAGGCCTAAACATATTTTGAAAACAAAATATTTCTAGTTTTAACTTTATTTTTATGATTAATTCATTAAAGATTAAATACAATTTGATGCTAATGAAACTTTTTAACTGATATATGGTAAACTTGAATGTTAAATTTAATTAGTATTGCTACAGGATTTGCTATAGTAAAAAAAAAAAAGGAAGTTAATAGATCAGGTAATAAATAATTAACTAAGTCTAAATAAATTTAAAATACAAGGCTTACCAAATGAAATGGGTGTTGGTGATAAAATGTTTTGGGTACGACGTTCTGTAATAGATGATGTTTTAATACCTAATTGGCCATCCATATTTCTTCCCCATGTGTACAAATTACCAGTATCTGTTAGTACAACATTATGCTCACTTCCGGCAACTACCTTTAACATGTAAAGAAATAAATTATTAATTAAAATATTAAATTTCATAAAAGAAAATTGTTTTTAACATATGATACTGTCGAACAGTAAAGCAGGCTACACATACACTATTGTATTCACATTACAAGTCAAGACAAAGGAATCCAATAAAACAATTGTGCAAGTGATACAAACAGATTAGAATATATTAAAAATGTTAAACACATGACAGATGAAATATTGACTCTTCCTACTGCTAGCAGATCCCGCTAACAGATAAGTTAATTGTTTATAGTTTATTTAATCTAAAGGAGTGAAGCAGTATATTGGCCCCTGCATTGCAAGAAGATGTACTTATAATTTTCCTTTAATAATCAGTAGATTTTGGATATTAGTGACAGGAAAATCTAAGCACTTAGGCCAAATGAGAGTTAAAGTAAGGTAATTGACAAATAAAAATGTCAAGATCTCTAATACAAGTCACAAAATTGATAAATTAATGTGTGAAGTCAGTTACAGATGATACTGAGATATTAAAAAATGTTTGGAAGTACAACAGAATAATTATGATTCCTTTATATTTATAAATAAGATCATAACAGTCATAATATTGATTCATAAATGAATGAATAAAACATGGTAGTCAAAACAAAATAATAGTAGTAAAAAAATAAACAGTAACACAATTAAGAATAATGAACAAAATTATAGTACCAATCATAATGAAAAGTATAGAGAAATAGAAAAAAAAACACTACAGAAGAATTACAGAATTTTACACAGAAACAAAGTAAGAAGGAGAATGAAATAAAGCGGGTCAGACAATAGATGGGACAATGAGCAATACATCAGAATTAAATAAAGTTTATAAAATAGACTATATACTGCTTAACCGATACAATCAAAAAGACATTTATCACTGACGATCACGATATAAAATTAGGCATGGACAATAAATTTGGTAAATATATAACAAATATGAATGATAAAATATAAAAACAAAACATAATATATAGGATTTAATGCATAAAATGAGATAAAGCATTTATGAAACATCCAAACAACTAAAGATCAGAATCATACAATATAAAAGCAATTGTAAAAATATAATCATAAAAATAAATACTACCGTTTTATCGCAACAGAGAATAGTAAATAACCATACTTTTGATTTAAGAAATACCAAAATTTTAGTTATCGTCAACTCTTCAGAAAATAGGATAATATGCAAAGCAATAAATGTCACTAAAAATATAGAGAAAACCATCAATTTTAAAATAGATACTAAACATCTAAATAGACATTACACACATATAATCAATAACCTGGATAAAAATATGAAAACAGATATGAATAAAATGATAAAAAATAAATTCAATAGTAAAATAAAAGAATGTGTTATAAAGAAACGATAGGACTTGAATAAGTATACATACATAAATAAAGGGAAACGTGATAAATAACAAAATAAAATTAGAACAAATCCCAATCCCACAAAAAGAGAAGCAATATGACAATGGAAACTGAGTAGCTCTCTCCAAAAACAAATGTATTTTTAAAAGCTTTTAGTTTAATAATGATATGAGGAAAGTTGTTCATAAACAGAATATGACAGAGAGATTGAAATGTTGAAGAATAACCTAAATATAAAGGTAAATTAATATATGTAATGATTTAAATAGTTATCTCTATGCTAATAGTGATTGTATCCATAAATAAAATCATCCATGATAATGGGTCCAGAGCCCAAAACATTGATGAGTGAGTAAAAAAAATAAATAAATAATTTAAAAATTGAAATTTTGGATAATAAATAATAAGATCAATCAAGATATTTCATTCACAATGGTGTAGAGATGGTTGACCGTGATATAATATGGAGAGGGAGTTGGTCAGGAGGTGCAGTCAAATAAATACTAAATGTTTAGGATAGTACTTTAATTGTTATGCCGACGTTTCGACCCACTTTGTAGGTCTTCATTAGGGCTACAAAAGATACCAAATATAAAAGGTACATGGTGAAAATAAAATAAATGAATTATAAGTAGATGTTAAATAAGAAACAGTTGTCTGATAAAGAAATAATACGATGACATCAGAGATACAGTGGGTGACAGTATAGTTAGAATATTAAGTATTACATATATAAAAGATCATCATCATCATCATATTTCTGAACCCAATACTGCAGCGCAGTGTGGGTTATGTCTTGTAGAGCTTGGACCAGGTTTCCCTTTCTTGAGCCAACTCTCTTCTCTTACTCCAATCCATACTTCACTTCCTGAATGCCTCTTGTACACTGTCTTCCCAGAATATGCGTGGTCTTCCTCTAAGTCTCCTTCCCTCCACACGGGTCTCGTATGTCTTCCTGGCTGTTCTCTCTTGATCCATTCTAAGAAGATGTCCGAACCATCTTAGCTTGTGCTCCTCTAGGATGATTTCAGCCGGTTTGACCTCGAGGCTAGTCCATACAGTGGCGTTCCAGACCCTATCTCTTCTGACCTTTCCCTCGACCTTCCGAGGATATCGCATCTCCAAGGCTTGAATTAGACTTTTTCGACCCTCACTTCGAAACACTGAAGTCGAATTCATATATAAAAGATACAAACCAAAATAGAAAACAAAGGTGAATATAGTGTGTAAGTTAAAAGTAAACAGATTGTGATAAAATATAAGAAATGAGTGGATAACAAACTGGTAAAGGTTACATTTGATAAATGTAGGTTAACAGATAAAGATAATGAGGGTTGCCGAATAAAGAAATTGAAATATGAATAAGTAATGATCAAGTAAAGGTAAAATAAGAATAAGATAACATAATAATCAGATATCAGTGGATAACAAGCTGGTGGAGGTTACACTTGAAAAATGTAGGTAAACAGATAACGAGACTAAAGAGTAACAAATAAAGAAATTGAAAAACTAATAAGATAACATGGGTTGTAAAATCGTTACGATAGATTTATTAAACATATATAACTCTATAAGAAATAAATTAGAAGAGAAATTTAGAATGTCAGTAGAAATGTAAACAAACTTATGATGATGAAAAAAGCTACAGTATATTGTAATACACACCTTTATTGGAAGTGGGTAAAAATGATTCAATAAATTAATGTTGAACAATTAAAAGGCAAGCTAATCTAGTTCTACTAGTGCAGGGAAAAGAAAATGGCTGCTCTGTAGTTTCCCAAGAAGGAAAATTCCAGAGAGGAGAGAACAAAGGTTTTTGTTTTGGCAAGCAGTTGGTGTGTGGCTGCAGTAAAGAGAGGATAGGAAAAGTGATCCTGGCTCCAGTGGGTAAAACCCAGTAATAGAATTACGATTTTGGAAGTTGTGCTCGGCAGAACATTGGAAAGCATATGAAGACAAATGAATTTAGTGCAACAAAGGAAGAAAGAGTGTATATAGAAAAAAGGTTAGCTTGGCAATTAATATTTGACTTAATTTTAAAATAAAACAGTGTTTATTATATTTAATTTTAGTTTGTCTGAGTTGATCTGATTGTCAGTAACCCACACCTGAGATAAATAAATATATTAATACTCTTATAATTTTGTTTATTATTAAACAACCTCTTATTTATTTAGGAAGTATCCCAATAGTATTAAACTGATCTTCCAAGATTATATTATTATTATTATTTGTAAAATATAAGAGGAATGTTACAATATATAAATGACAATTGACATTCAGTTTTCTCTATTTACGACTATCTCTATTTCTATAGACGATATTAAATGTGTTCTTCATCACTAACGCATTCATAAAAGACTTGTTTTCGTTTTGTATGAATGCGTTAGTTATGAAGAACACATTTAATATCCTCTACAAAAGAGAAGTGAAAAAACGACATTTGATGAAATAAAAGAATGACAAACCGACTAGAATTATATTATAATGATACATTTTAAGAAATCTTATGAAGCGGTGCATGGATCTTGAAAATGGCTCCTGAAGCAGAAATGGCGAATAAATAATACAAAAAAAAAAGTCTTGTATGAATGCGTTAGTGATGAAGAACACATTTAATATCGTATACAAAAGAGAAGTGAAAAAACGACATTCGATGAAATAAAACATTGACAAACCGACTAATTATATTATAATGATACATTTTAAGAAATCTTATGAAGTGGTGCATGGATCTTGAAAATGGCTCCTGAAGCCAAAATGTGGAATAAATAATACATGATATGATAACTGTGAATATTTGGTGACCTTTGGCCTAATGTTTTTTAAAAAAACCTAAAAAATAGCACCGAACCTAAAAGATATGACTAGAATATTAACTGAATAAAAGTAAAGCAGCTTTAGAATTGATTTTCTGAAAGAAACAACACAAAATTAGTAGTAAGGACAGCAAAACAAAAAGGTTGGATAAAGTTTTGGTGAACTCTCAAGAAAGATACCAGCAAAAAATATCCCAGGAGACCTAATTCTAGAAATAAAGTCTTTCTCTTCTTCTCTCCCTAGCTTGTTAAGTGTCTTTTACAGTGGAGCCCCAACCTTAATCCACGGTTTCTATTTGTCACTCTGTACGGCCAAATTTTTAATCTAGGCAAAATATTTACCTCTATATCTTCCAAGTTCCTCCAGGTACCGCATGTATATGGTTCTGGGTTCGCCCATTTGTCTTTTTCCTACTTAACCGATGAACCATTTTAATTTTCTGTACTGCGAGAGTCTGCACACGTCCAAACTAGCGGAGTTGGCATAATTTAAATCCATATATGAAAATTCTAACAGACTACTAAGAACCAATGGGAAAGAAAAATAAATCAAAATAGACAGGTCAAGCAAAGGGATAATCTCAGAGCTTTTCACTCTACATGGCATTTATGAGCAATATATAGAAAAGAAGTGAGATTAAAAAATTAATTATGATAGATAAATGGAACATGAGAACGGTAATGACTCAGGTTCTTATGTCAATAGAGTAAAATTAAATATTATCTTGGTACAATAGAAATTGCATTTACTAGTCTTAAGGCCAGAAAAAAAAAGATGACATTATCCCGATGAGAGAGTCAGCAAAAGCGATATAACATGCAATTCTATAATGGAAAGCAGAGGTGCTGGTATGCAAGACTGAGAAGAGGCAAGAAAAAAGAATTACGAAACAAGTTTAACTTCAAGTTATTAGATTAAAAAGTTTCTATATTTTCTATGCATAGTAAAACAAAATAACATTATAGAAGAAATTTTGCATTAAAGAAAAATATATATAGTTAAAATCCAACCTTAACAATGTTGCCGTCGATAAGAGATGTATCCACTATCTTTGGGACCAGAAAATCGATAGCATCATCAACTGAGGTTGGTTCTTTTTTTTCCTCCTTTGAAAACAAAATAATTAAAAGGACATATAAAATAAACTAAATAAATATTTTAAATTTTAGAAAAAAAAAGATAAAGAAGAAAACTTACAACAGATGCTTTCATTTTCCTTTTAGCTGAATGTGCCGCAGTACGAAGTAAATTGGGGCTACTTCCCCAACTAAAAATTTGATTATTAAATGTTACAGCAAACTAAAACAAAAAATATTTTTGTACAGAAAAAATTGTACATTCATATTAAAATTTAAAAACTATATCCATAAAATAAAAATGGGTCTAATCATGAAATCATTAATAATAAGCAAACCCAGTAAAAAAAATTGCAAAGGCATATTAAAATATTAATTACTAAATGTAAACAATATAAACTTAATTAGAAAAAGAACTCAGACATTCACTAAGCAAAATTAAAAGTTAGAAAATGTTTAAATAAAAAAGATTTTAATACAACTAAGTTTTGGTTTGATTTTTCATAATTAAAATAGGCATTATAAAAGAAATAAAATAAAATCAATAAGAAATGTGGAAAAAACAAAAATGTTTGACTTAAAATATAAATAACAAAATATACTTAACATACATTATGAAAATAACCAGAAGATATAAATCTGATTTTTTCTGTTAAACTACATATTTTTAAAGGAACTGATGATTTTTTATTTCTGCCAGTGCCTAATTGTCCAAATGTATTAGAGCCACAAGCCCAAACAGTGCCATTTTTGCTCAAAAATAATGTATGAGCTTGTCCAGCATCACAGCATTGTATTCCCTATAAAGTGAATAAATTTATATGTTAAATAAAATATTTATTTCAGCTGGTCCAATTTTGATATTTATTCTATATAATATATTTTCACACTTATTTGCCTTTAGGTCAATTTAATAAGTAATCACAATTAGTTTTTGATCACTATTTATTTATGGACATTTCAGGGAATCCTTGTATCACTCTTCAGCAACTAAAATAATACAATTAATATATTATAGGCTCTAACAAGAACCAGTCCTTTTTTACATTAAAATACATAACACTTAACACATATTCTCCATTAATTTTTTGCACTGCCATTCACAAAATGTCTTTATACTGGCATCTCTTTATCTCTGTTTGGTAAAACTTATAATGTAATTTATATAGAATTAAACAACAGGAATCAATTATTTTCTGTAATATACAAATGCTGAATTTTTGTCATTTGGCTATTGGTGATTGTTAGCGAAATGATGAATTTTTGGGAGAGAAAGATTCTCTGAAATATTCATAAATAAATAGTGATCAAATACTAGTTGTGATTATTTATTAAATTGTCCTAAAGGCAAATAAGTGTCAAATAATATTTATTACTTAATTTAGCTTTTATTATTTATTGCTTAATAATAAAAAATATTTTAATAAAAAGAAAGAATATTTGTCCTTAGTATTATTACTTCATTCATTAATGACATAACAACTTTAGGAGTAAGACAGTCTTCTATATTACCATGACCTAGTTGGCCATGTACACCCCAACCCCATGTTAAAACTCTGCAACAGAAAAAACAAATAAATCAATATTAAGCGAGTCATGCAAATATATTTCTACTGGTTTATTTTTTAAAGATTCATACCTCTCCTTGTCATCCAAAGCTACACTATGATATTGACCAGCAACTATCTGAATAATATTATAATCCATTAAAGCTTCTATTAATGAAGGATAGGAAGATTGAACAACCTGAGCTTTTCCTAATTGACCATACTTATTGTTGCCCCAAGAATAAACCTATAAAGAATTAACATTCATTATATTATTGTAATATACTTATCAAATTTTAGAGTATTATGCCATAATATTGATTTTTTAAATGTAAATTCAAAACATTTCTACTTGTTTTTTGGTACATTTATAAAATACAGTAAATACTGAATTGTTTGTTGGTGAGAGGTGGTGGCCTCATCGCCCAGCTGTCCACTGGTATCATCCAGTTGTCAACTGCAATCAGCCACTGGCCCTCCAGGTTGGGGGACACCTATACTGACACTCACACAGTACACTACACACACCCCCACACTACAGACAAAGGTTATCCACAGTACACACCCTAGGGTTTCCTCCCCTAGGTAGCGGCTCCGGAAGGGGGTGAATGTCGGCATCCACTAAGTTGGCAGCCCCATCAGCAGACTAGGGTACGTAGAGAGGGTCGATAGCCCCACTGCCCGAAAACAAATTATCGAGAAACCTCACACAATAGCCTCGGATTTGGACAGTCACAAAAGAGAACAACACAGCAAACGAGATAGGATCAACATTGGATTTTTGAATGTTCTTTCACTTTACAGATCCGCAACACTGTAATTGCTCTTAGATCAAAAAGTCCGATGGACCGGCCAAGGCATACTGGAGTATTTCACAGCTTGTGTCACAAAACGCTATAGAAACCTCGTAATCGGCTTTGAAGCAAATTAATCCTCGAATTTGCCTATTAAGAATCCGGGGTAAATTTGGAAATATTACCATGGTAAGTGTCCATGCTCCTACAGAAGACGCTGATGAAGAAGAGATGGATGCCTTCTACGAACAGTTGGAGGAATCCTCGGACACATGTTCAGGATATGATATGAAGGTCATGACTGGGGTCCTCAATGCAAAAATAGGAAAGGAAGAAAGTTATATTCCCACAATCGGTAAACATAATCTTCATGACCAATGCAACGATAATGGGCAGCACCTGGTGAATTTTGCAGCAGCAAAGAACCTTGCTATTTCAAGTACTATGTTCCCTCACAAAGACATTCATAAAGGGACTTGGACATCGCAAGATGGTAGATCGGTTAACCAGATTGACCACATTCTTGTTAGTGGAAGGTGTATCAGCTCTATGCTAACGTCGACTCTGACCACTTTCTTAGCATAGACACAGTCATTGCTAGAATAAACAATGTCTACGGTGGACAAGCACAGACTGGGAAGCACTATGATATGAAGAAAATAAAACATCCAGATGTCCAACAAAGGTATATGTCGACACTAGAACAGAAGCTCATAGAGAATTATATAAGAGAAGACATGAACGAGGAATGGGAGAGATGCTCTTCTGCTATTGCTGAGGAAATTGTGGGAACAACTGGAAGAGAAGCTCGAACACTGTGGTTTGACGATGAGTGTAAATCTGGCACATATGCAAAGAATGTGGCATACCAGGCGATGATCAACAGAAGGACACGACGCAATGCAGAAGAATATAAGAGAGAGAGAAGAGTGGAGAAGAGACTCCATCATAAAAAGAAGAGGCAACACAAGAATGCTGAACTAGCAGAAATGGACTTCTACCAGGTAGCCGACAGAAGTCGAAATCCTTTCAAGCAAATCCCCTCTATGTGTCAAAACAACAATGGAGTCCTTCTTACAGATGATGAATCCTGCATTGAGGAATGGAAGAAGTACTTCCAAGGCCTGTTAAATGGAAATGGTGAAGTAGATGGACACACTACTAATATACAACTAGAAAGAGATTTAGAGCCTTCTGACGATGAGGAAGTCGTCCAGGCAATTAATCGACTCAAAAACAATAAAACCCCAGGTATTGATGGTCTACCAGACGAATTATTCAAGCAAGGAGAGACCGAACTTTTCAGATCCCTCCACAATATCATTCTGACTGTGTGGGCCGAAGAGAGCATGCCTAAGAAATGGAAGAAGACCTTAATATTCCCAATACATAAGAAGGGGAATATGATTAAGTGTGGTAACTATAGGGGAATATCCCTCCTCCCATGTGCCTATAAAATACTATCTAATATATTCTTCCAGCGCCTCCTCCGATATACCGAGCGAGAAATTGGACAGTACCAATGTGGATTCATGGGTGAAAAGCCAACAACAGACCAGATTTTCAGTCTTCGTGGAATTTTGGAAAAAGGTAGAGAATATGGATTCAAGACGCATCATCTCTTTGTTGATTTTAAGTCCGTGTATGATAGCATTGATGGGGATTAACTGTACAAGGCTCTCAAAGAACTTAATGTTCCTCCTAAACTTGTTCGGCTGGTAAGGATGAGCATGATGGGCATCAAATACTTTGTTCAAGTCCAAAGAAAGTGATCTGGGGGTTTCTTGATTGTAAGGGGGTGAGGCAAGGAGATGATTTGGAATGTCTCTTCTTAATCTCCATCTGGAAAATCCCTGTCAGAGAATCAGGAATTCAGATAATGGGTACTATTTTCAACAGAACAGTTCAGCTCCTAGCATATGCTGATGATATAGATATAGTTAGCAGATCATATCAGGCTGTATCCCAAGCATTTCTGGCTCTCGAGCCTGCGGCAAGACGTCTTGGCATAATTGTCTGCCAAGACAAAACAAAGTATACGGTGTCTGGTCAACCCCTCTCCCCGACAGATCCGTATCAAAGTTGCATAGGTCCCTGCATTTTTGAACAAGTGTCAGAATTCACATATCTTGGTGCACAAGTGATGTGCGACACTAGAATATCAGCGGAGATGCAGAGAAGAATGATCTCAGGGAATAGCTGTTATTATGGACTCTGCTCCCACCTATCGAGCAGACTTGTCTAGCAATGCACCAAAGTTATCCTCTACAAAACCCTCATCCTCCCTGTTTTGCCATATGGTTCTGAGACCTGGACTACCGCAAAGGCAGAGGAACGGGACCTGCTTGCTTTTGAGAGGAAAATCCTTCGCCGAATTTATGTGCCCAACTGAGAGAACCGACAATGTATAGAAATAGAGAAATCTGTAACTTCTATAACAAGGTTAAAGATCTTTCTATCAGTTAAATATAAGTTGCAGTTAGTGCAAAGAGATTTATGATAATAAGGAATAAGAAAGGCACATTTAACTCTCTACCAACTGTCCTCAAGAGAACTTGAAGGAATGCACTCTGAACTCATAGAACAGATAGTGAGGAATAGGAAAGTGTACGGAATGACACCTCAAATTTGAGGAACAAATCCTTCTCAGATTTGAGAGGAAGGTTAATAAACGGTGGCGCTTATGTACAAGGCACACGGAGAAGGAGGAATAATACTGAATTAAGAGGTATATATGTAGATCTAGATGTATCGACTTTAATTAAGTTATCAAGGCTTCATCGAGTGGGCCATGTTGTTGGGGTGGAATCAAATAAAATTTCACATCAAAGTTTGGAGCGTGTATACGGCACAAGAAGAGTTGGATGCCCTAAGCCTCAATGGAAGGATAGGGCTACCAATGTGAAGACCCAAATAGGTGTCCAGAACTGGAAGATAGCAGCAGGAAACAGAGAAGAATGACTATCTATGATAGGCCTGGCAACAAGTGGGTTATAATTCCACTTAATATTAATGATTAATCAAGGAAACGGCTGTTCTAAATTTTAAAAAGTTCAAATAAGACTTGTTGAGGACCAGAGTTCGGGTTTAGAGATTACTTTATATTTTGAATTAAAAAAAAAACTTGAACATTGATAAAGTTATAATTATTAACCTTGAACTGATGATAAAATAAAACTTATAATTAGAGACCGGATTTCCATGTTATTGCACATTTTGTTCACTCACATGTAACAACTTCAAACCTGACAATTTATCCGTTTCACGATCTGTAAAATAACATATTGAAATTTGATACTACACATTTTGGTATTTTTGGCCTAAATTGCACAATTTTGATTTTCGGTTCATCAAATTGTGCTTTTTGTGCTAGAATGTGATGAAAAACCCTGTATATAGGTTTTTGGGAGAAAAGGGTGTTTAATATCTACATCCAACAATTAAACACTAAAACAATTCAGAAAAAGAACATTCAGCATTTGTTCATGCTTAAACAATTTACAAAGTATTTCAAGCAAAGGTAAAGTTAAATACCTGAAAGTACAATCGCATTTTAAAATTTGTCAACAATTTTAAATGAAGAGACAGACTGTTATGTCAATACTCATAAACTCTTTTAACAACTCTAATCATTCATAAATCTTTTTTCTTCTTCTTGATCAATGAATGGGTAATACAATTATATGTGATATAGTATTTATAATTTTTTCATAAGAATATAATATTAATTTGTAAAATAATAAAAATCGAATAATGAACAATTTTTTTTACATTGTCTTGAAATGAAAAAATAATGGGCTGAAAGAAAAGTTCACACACCCATAATTTCAAATTAAAAAGTCTGAATTACTCCAGTTTAATTATAGTATGACTATAAATAATGTGATATTATATATACAATGTGACAAGAAAAAAAATATTGTTACCCCATTGTCAGTAATTGCTAGGGTATGGTTTCTTCCACATGAGATTGAAAATACCCTAACTCCAATGTTAAAGAATGTTTCAATAAATGCAGGTCCAGATACTGAGCGATTAGTAGGTCCATTACCTTAAACCAAAAGATAGACAATGTTTAAATAATATATTTAAGTATAAAAATTTATAAGTGAATCAATAAATATTAAGTTTTTTTTTATAGGTAATTTTAGACTGGTTTTTTGTTCTTATGAGTTCAGGATTTTTTACCATTGACGGTCTCTTTTTTGATTTAAAACTTCATTTCTAGAGAAGCTTTTGGTGTACATGCACCATATTCATCTCTATAATCATGATACTCCAATCAGTGTTAATTAATAACATTAACAATATATATATTAATATGAAAATATATATAATTAAAAATATGACATAATTTTTTAAATGTCATGCAATTATTATCAGGTCATGCCATACCTTTTATTAGTTTAGTCTATTTACCACCATAAAGGATAAGAACAGTGTTCTTGTTCTTCGTCTCATATTAGCTTTTTCCGAGAATAGGACTCATCTTTGTCAAACACCATCTTACTGAGTGCTGAGGAATTACTGTCAGCACCCTCTATATTATCACAACTATTTGGTAACTAAAAGTTACCTTACCTTATTTGATTTATTATTATTTGAATTTTTATGGATGGCTATTATTTGTGAATAGTGTTGTGGGATGTGGGCTGCTTCCTGTTTTGAATTTAGCACATTTTTTTCATTTACTGCTTTTTAAATGGATTCTAAAATTTTTAGCTTTGATCGGTAGTTTGATTAATGAAGTATTTTAATATTTTTGAAATATATTTCATGTCTGTGGTTTTTTGCATGGTTTGGTAAAGCGGTAACTGTTTTTTAATTATGTTTAAGTGTACTTTTGTGGTTGTATATTCTGGTTTTTATATCGGTCGATGTCATTCCTACATATGATTTGTAGCCATTTTTACAGGGGATATCATAAATTAAATTTCTATTGTTTTGGATAGGTGTTGGGTCCTTTGTCTTTTGTCAGGAAGTTTCGTAAAGGATGTCTGAATTTGAAATTGTCTATGTCTAATTTATTAAAGGTTTTTATGATATTATGAATAGCTTTGTAAGATTTGTAATTGGGACCCCGAGACGCTCCCACCACTATACTGAGTTAGGGTGGCTCTTCCCCTCCTTAAGAAGACAATATTTCCTAGGCACTTTCCTTTATCAAATCATTACCGATCATCGTCCTTCTTATGTCTACAACCTTCTCCAATTTAAGTCCTCAATCCATTCCCTCACGACAAGATCTCGACCCTCTGACCTATACATCCCTTCTCATAGATCTGCCTCATTCCAAAATTCCTTTATAGCCCGCTCTGTCAACTTTTGGAATTCCCTCCCGATCAAAATTCGACATGCCCCTTCCCTATACACATTCAAAAACCTCCTATTCCAATAACAGTCAGATACCAGCTAACTATTAATACTATATATGTATTGTGTAGCAATCATATAATCATAATACTTGGTAAGAGATAGTACATGCATTTCCTACTATTGAGTTAGGAATTTCAATACATACATTTTTTTTTATTCAATTATAATTAACTGTTTATTTTTATATATATATATATGCAAGTAAAGTTTTTTTGTTTTTTTTTTATGAAATGAACTCACTCTATCTCTTTTTCGTTCTTCATTTTTGAAAGTGTATGTTTATGTTGTTCAACCCTTATATATAGTTTTGTTCATAGTTCAAGTGATTCGTTCATAGTTTTAATTGTTTTGTTCATAATTTTAAATGCTCTGTACATAGTTTTATCTGTATTGTATATAGCTTGTGCACCTAAGGTTTTCTTTACTTTTTATTTTATTTATTGTTTCAAACATTTAGGCCAGTATTATTCTATTATTTAGTACATTATTGTTATTCTGAAGGGACTTAGTCCCAGAATAAATTTTTTTTTTCTATCTATCTATCTATCTATTATATGTCAGTTTGTTAATGTACGTTAAGGATTTGAATTTTTTATGGAAACCGGTTCGAGTATATTACTATTTTCTGAATTTTGGTTAGGTTCATTGTGTTTTATGTTACTTAGTGAGCTGGTGTTGAAGAATTGTTTTCGACTGGTTTGGGTTGGGGACCGATACATATTTAAGTTGATAGTAGGTTCATTACCATTTCTATTTTCTGTAAGGCTGTTGTGAGTCGTGTTATTTTCAGTACGTTTTTTAGTTACTGTTTGTAATTCTTTTTGTTTATTTACTGCCTTATACCATAATTTTGTTATTAATTTATGTGGGTAGAAACTATTTTTTAGTATATTAAATATTTGTTGCTTAATTTCTTTCATATATATATTGTTTGTAATTTTGATTGCTTTATTAATCAAATTGCTACCTACATCAATAGTTTGCGTTTTAGGGTGATTAGAATAAAAATTGAGGATATTTTCTGATGTGGTTGATTTTCTATACCATTTAGAATATAATTTTTGTTCCTTTTTAACTATTGCCATATCGAGATAATTTATACTATTGTTATTTTCTATTTGGATGTAAATTATATTTTAGGATGGATTGAATTAAGGTTATTGACTGATGTAGAATGATCTTCATGTCTAAGGATGAGTAATAGGTTGTCAATATATTTTACAATTAATAAGGGCTTTATATTCATTTGTTTTAATGATTTTTCGAGAACATAATTCAGGACTATACATGATAGATTTACAGATAACGAATCGCCCATCGTGAGACCCGAAATTTGCTTGTAGGTCTGTTTTTGAAAAGAAAAATATCCATTTTCAGTGCACAGTCTAGTTCCTTCAAGAAAAATGGTCCTACTTTTTATTGGGGTTTGTGGTTTGATCTTATCCCAATTATCAGATAATAGTTTTTAGACCATTTTTAATGGTGTGTTTGTAAAAAGTGATTTTACATCATAACTGTACATCGAATATTTTATAATAAGAATATCTTATAAAAATTTATAAGTGAATCAATAAATATTAAGTTTTCATATAAGGAAAATCTTTAACATAATATAATGTGAGAATATAATAGCAGATAGCTTTTTTTTTGTTATTTTTTAATTATTGTATTTTTTTATAGTGAATTTCATATGTTTATATATTTTTTTAAATATAATTGCATTGGAGTCTTATGGTAAAGCTCCTCACTATTTTAAGAGATGACAAAAGTGATTAAAAATCATCACTGGCAAACACTATAATAAAAATATGACACTACCAAAAGGTTCAATTAGGTATTGTAGTTCACTGAATAAACAAGGTTATAATTAGGTGATGGTTCAAAAAACTTACAAATGAAAAAAAAAACCTATATCACTACAACCCATGAAGGGTCATAGGTTCAATATTATGCGAGGAAAGTATTGTTTCTAGGCCATTGCAAAAGGAGGTGATTGGCTGAGGTCAGCGAGAGTATTTAATGATAGTGGATTAATAATTGATTGTCGCAGAGATATTGAAGAGAAAATGGTTGGGGTGTTCAGTCAAACTCATTTTACGAAAATAAAAGATAAATTGGAAGACTTCTTTTTTTTATTTTCCTGTTCTCCTCATTTACCTTTTTCCCTTTTCTCTCTTTTCCATATCTGTACCGCTTTTTGGTTTATATTTACATTAAATTTACTAATTGTATCTTATTTTATTAATTTACATAATTTTAACTTTACAATTCTCTTATATGTGTACTGTATGTTTTGATGGGTTTCATTATGCCTTAATTGTTCTATTTACTTTTATTATTTTCTTTATATAACTTCATATTTCTTTCCTCTGTTTTTCATTTTTATTCTATGTTAATCTCACTTCCTCTGAACATATTAAGATATCAACTTATAGCAACTATGTCACCCTATTTATTTTGTGTTTATCTCTTAATATTCCATTACATTCCTTTTTTATTTCATTTTATGTTATTTTATTAGTGCTTATTTCATAAGTTCCTAACTCAGTTACCGTTATTATTTACTTCATAAGCTTCTAACTATGTTACCATTATTTTATATTCCATTTTCCATTGCTTTGTTAATTTCATTGAGTTTTTACTATTGTTTTATTATTTTCTGCTTCACCACTTTATTACATTTTTTTATAACTTCCTATGTTCCATTATTTCATTAGTCTCTAACTAATCAGTTAATGTTTTCAAATTTTAAGTGCAAAATAGTAAAATCAATTATTTTTCGTATAACTTACCTAAACAACTGAAGGAAGTACAACCCCAAGCATAGGCATTTCCATCAATTACTACAGCAGCATGATTAAAGCCAGCACTGATCTTATTCTCATGAACTCCAAGCTGCAATGAATATAAGTGAAATATAATTTTACAAACTTAATAAAATATATTTAAGTCAATTATACAAATTAAAGTTAAATTTAGAAATACTTCTTTTAATTTTAGACTAAATAGACTTCCATGAAGATTTTAATAAGAAAGATATATTATTAAATTATATTAATATTAAGATATTAAAATATAAGAAATGTGATATTAAGAGAAGTTATTTAATTGTAATAAATGAATGATACAAAAAATATTATCATCAAACCTTCAAATTAATAAATTTCCACTCTTGACCCAATGAGATTTTGCTGATAGTATCAATGTTAATTTTATTTTCCTTTAATGAAAGATATGTGCATATTAAAATGTAGGTTTGAATCCATACTTGAAGTGGAACATCACCCTGAAAAAATGACAATAAATTAAAATCATTCATACCTTAACTAACAAATCATACAAAAGTCACTAAAATGTAATCATGAGGATGGTGGTAAAACTAAATAAAATGATCTACTAAGCATGGCAGGAAATTAAATGAATTTTCATGGATCAACTTAGAATTGGCTTTGACTGATATGGATCAACTAGGAAACTGTTCAAAGGGTCATTGAAAACACAACAACAATAAAACCATGGAATGAAAAAAAAACCAAACGTTTTGAAAAAGGAAGACTTTCTTCAAAGACGAACTGTAATAATATATAAATATTCCTCCAAAAAAATACACTTAAGAGGATATCCTTCACATTGTAAAAATAAGCATAATTCCAATCTGAAGTCAAATGCATGATGACAGTTCAAAAGGGAAGATACCCCTAAGTTCATTCAGCTTGAGAAAGGAACTGAAAAAAAAAGAAAGACTAAACCTGCCCTCTGTGCCTAGTGGATGAAGAAAAGGCTAAGCACCTTCAGTGTAAGTTTGAAGCCCTTGCCTTCTTGAGGCTACAGTATTTAAAACAGGCGATAATTAAACCTGAAGATATTACTAGATCTAGCCCTAAGGATATGGGGGGAACTATATTCAATAAAACCTACCAAATATTGGCATACTCCAATGATGGTGGATTATTGAAAAGTCTTTCTATAACATTAAACCGGCATTTGAAAGGATTCAACAGAAGATCCAGAAATTTAGATGTTAGGCAAATGAAGATAAAACAAGGATTAATATCATAAGAAGAAAAAACTTGATTCTTGTACAAAATGTTACCAGTTTTAAATATCTTGGGAATCATATTGATGCATTCTTGGATAAGAAGGAGACCAAAGCTCGAATTGTGGCTGTTAATACAACATCACACTCCATTATCCATCAAATCTTAAGCATTAGATTGATCAGTCGCATCACAAAAATTATTTTTTATAAAACTTTAATAAGACCTGTTGCAACCTATGCATGTGAGACATGGGTGATCAATGTAGGAACAGCAAGGAAAATGGACATCTTCAAGCTTAAATTATTAAGTTGTATTATAGGTGCAATAAGACAGAGAGGAGAGTGGCACTGGTAAAACAAATCATGAAATATATCACAAGTACAAAGCTCTGAGAATCTTAGAATTCATAAAAATACATACTCTGAGATGGCTAGGTCATTGGTCACAATGGACAATAGGATAGCCATGGAGCTGTGCACTGGCCATACAGACACCTGTGTGATAGTAGAACTTCTGGAAGATTACATGGGGGACAAAGAGACAGTGTAAGTGCAATTTTTTTTTTTTAGAAGCCTGGGCAAAGCATTGAACATACCAAGAATGGACCTACGGGATCTCTGGATGAACAGATGGTAATCTACATGTGACGTGGTGAGAAAGGGTTTTGCATCCTAACTCAATATAGTAATTTATAAATTTACCTGTACTAAATTAGTAATCCATGATCGCAAAGACACACTGAATGGGTTATATAATGCTTCCAAATTCTGAAAAAAAAATAATGATATACATGTACATAGAAAGACACAAATAATTTGATTTAAAGCAGAGTTAATTATCGCCATTAGGCATCATGATGAAAAGAATCATCCATTTCATAAATTAGACGATATATGAAGTTAAAAAAAAAAAAAAAATGCTTATACTTTAAAATAATCCAAGTCCAAGCAAAATAAATTAAAAAAAATGATATTTATAGTATAACATGTTATAAATACAACTTATTTTATAAATTAACTTACTAAAAGAATATCTTTATTTAAAGATGGCAAAGAGCTCAAAAGAAGTTTCTGATGATATAAAACAAAATTTGGTTTGACTAACAGTGTGTCACAAAATGAACGATCACTAATGAGATACCAAAAACCAGAAAGACCTGCAATTAAATAAAATATGAATAGTTTATAATTTGATAGATATTAAAAATCAAAGAAAAATAGCCAAAAACCTACTGGATATATTCATAGAATGATTATGTCGAGCAAAATGCATAACAACACTCATGGTTATAGGATGTAATCCTTTTTTCTTAGTCAAATAAAGAAGTTCCTCACATAGACCAGCTTGAGTCAAAACACTAACAGCTAAGGCCTCGTCATAACCAGATTGAAGAAGGAGCTCCCTACAAACATGCATAGATTTATTTAAATAAATAAAAATAATATAATATAAAAATGAACAATTGCAGCTAAAATAAACACAATCACTAAAATAAAATAAAAATATTAATAGATAAATTAATTGTTTTGACGTCATGCAAAACAATTACCTGAACATATTATGTAGTCTTGCAGAATAGTTAGTCAACATTTGATGCAAGAAAACAAGAAGTTTCAAGTTCATAAAATGAAGTTTATATGACTGGGCATACTGACAGGTTCTTAAAGCATCAAAAAGCTCAGGCATGAGACCAAGTACAGCCAGCATCAAAATAAGATGAGTTCCGCCAAACTGTTACATTAAAAAAATAAAAAAGAGGTTAACTGTACATAATTAAATTAAACATTAAACATTTATGGCTTATTTAACAACATTAAAAACCTTTTGAAGTCTAAATCACTTTCTACTGGCCTTTTATTATTATATAAATGTATTGTAGTGATTTTTGCAGGTATTTATTGTGAATTGATTATTTATATTATCTACTTTTAAATAATAGTCATAATTTTTTTAATTTGACATTATAATGGTTTTGGATATCAAAACCTAAAATATTGCTATAAAACAGCAAAAGCTATTTAAAAGATTTAGATGATTTGAGATTCTGTCACTGGTATCGATCAATAAGATTCAATAGAATCAACTATGGCAACCTTGAACTTTCTGTAATCTCTAAAAACTTTGCCGAACTTGGATTGCAGTTACTTAATATTGTTAGTTACAGGTACTGGTGCTTGTTGGAGGGGGGGAGGAGTCGGGCAAGTGGGATCTGTGGTGGTCCTTTTTTCCAACCCCTGGTGGTTATCTTGAGGTTGCCACCGCATACTTACTAGAGTGGGAATGTCAAGATCCATTTCCCAGGACTGCCGAAAAATGAAAATTAACCAATCCAGGTGGGAATCGAACCCACAACGTTCAGAACCGAGCACTCTGGGACCCAAGTCCCAACTTGCTCAGCCATTCCATCCTCAATATGTTGGTTAGCAACTAGAATAATAATATTTAGTTAGAATTATTTGTGTTAGATAACCTCAAATATTTATATTCAGCCTGTCTGAAATTAACTCCATTATGAGTTTTTTTTTTTATAGAAAATTAGTTCTGAAGAGTTATCATGTTACGGTTACTTTCTCAAGCGTAAATTATATTTCTATTTGTGTATACAAGGCCTTCGGTAAGGATTGTATTTTTAAAAAATAATTATGTAAATTGTGATTTTTAAGCTAATTATATTGGTGTCTTTTGAAGTTCAATGTATAAGGTTGTCACAGCCTCGATTTCCTTTTAAACATCAAACTTTGAATAAGTAAGGGCTCACTATACTTTTTTTTTAATGAATTATCATTGAAGGATTAGAAGCAGGTATTAATAAATTATGAATAAGCATAGGTTGTCATTTCACTTAATTAACCATGACTTTACTCGTATTCTGATATTTCTCATTAAATTAGTTTTCTTCTGATGGATAAAAAATGTCAATTTCATTAAAACCATACATATGTGTGTTGATAGTTGACTGTAAGATAAATCAAGAAGGAGAATGTCCAGAAGTCAGACCGAAATAACATTAAATAGTTAAGACTATCTGATGTAATTTCTGACTAACTTCTTTAAAATAGTAATAAGTATAGATAAATGTTGAGTAAGTATATACATACTGTACTTGGAACTGTTTACCCTACAGCTCATGACTTTTTTTATCCACAAAAAGTTAAATGTACAATTTACAAATGCGGGATTTTTCCACATTTTGTATGTTTGCATAATCACAACTTGGAGATATCAAACCCAAAATGTTGGAGGATTACTAAATAAATTTTTAAAAAATAAAAGATTTTTAATTGAAATTCATTTTTCAAATTGTTTTAAGAATAATTTAAATTTTTAAAAAGAGGAATCTTCTAAAAGCTCTGAACAATATACTCAGTTTTACTTATATCCTCAAGGCCTAACACACTAGATATAACCTTTAACAATCTTACTTTTTAAAATTAATTCATGATAAAATCAACATTTAAAAAAAAAAAAGTTGTGATGTCTGTCACACAGCTTGTTGGCAAACATACTGGTTTAACATTAAAAAAACAACAACACACCAACAAAATATTTAATACAGCATTTCTAAAATCTAATTTTTGACAAACAACAGCAACTTTATTTTCGCTAAATTTAAATAAATGTAGAGAAGAATAGTTGGGGTGGTCAGTCAAAAAAGAAGGCACAAATAAATATTATCATTTATTTTTGCCTTCTTTTTTTACTGACCCCCCCAACTATCCTTCTCTTCATTATCCACGACAGTCAACCATTTACCAATTTTAAATAAATGAAACTCTTTACATCTACAAAATAAGTTTATAAAAAAATTTACTCTTGTTAAATTATACAGATGAATTGCTTCTTTAACAAATCCTTTTGATAACTGGATATCGCCTGCCTCACAAATTAGTTTTTGCAGGTCCAAATTAAATATTAAACTTAGTTTTTCAGCATACTGAATGTTTTCTTTAGCAAGAAGATTTTTCAAAACTAATTTATGCGGGTCAATCCTGAAAATTAAAATATTTATCAATTATCTTCAAGAGCTAATGAATATTTAAAAAATCTAACCATATTATACACCAAAATCATATATGTAAATCAGATCCAACTTCTTTATAAAGATTAGAATTTTAAATGTGTTTCTAATAATTCACAAAGGTTTAACAAGTTTTTTAATACCTTGATTAAAAAAACAAAAAACAATTTGGTTATAAATTATAAAACATTGGAACATTACACAATTATTAATACAGAATAATCAATGAAAAGTATTTTAATGGTTAAAAATTCATTACGTAGACAAAGAAAAATAGAGAATATTAGATGAAACTATACACCACAGAATAAAAAAAAAAAAGAAGTATATTGTAGCCACTCAGGGTGCTTTAAAGAATGATAAATTTTTATGATTCTTGGCTATTTCTCTTTGCTTCTAACAATGTTTAGAATTTCTTTAATATGTTTTTGATATCCTTTCAGGGTAAATTTTATAAGACTGAGGTATATCAGACTCAAGGGAAAATTCAATCAGTTTCAGAAGCCAAATTTTTCCTACTTCTTTAAGATGGGGGCTGGCACTGTAGATAGAGGAATAAAGTGTTTGAATATCAATGTGATTCACTATTTCGGGCTACACATTATTAAGCATAAAAAAATAAATCAATACAGATACTAACCATATTCTTTTCCGCTTGGTCTCTAAACATAACAATTAAAAATAACTCGTAAGTTATTCCTAAATGATCCTGGTAAAAATAAAAGTAAAATACTGCAATAATTAGACATTCACCCTAAGATCTGTTAAGGCTGTGTGCTAGACACTCCAGATTTAACATTTTTTAATTTAAAGATTAAGAAATCTCTTTTTGTAGATTCTATAGAATGGAATTGAAAACTTTATACAAACTCGTATTTATTTCTACTGGCCATATGCTTTATATACACACAGTTCATGCATTTTGGTATTGATTGCATACTGATTGACTGTTCGAGGATTTGCAGGGAAACTTAATTGACCGTCGATGACCACCTCAAGGCGATTGGGAAGGTAAAAAAGTTTGAAAGTTGGGTTCCACACATATTAAACAGCTGCCAAAAAAAAAACAACAGCATTATGAAGTTTTTTGGGTCACACTATTTTGCCGAAACAAAAACGACCCTTTTCTGTCCAGAATTGTTATTTGTGATGAAAAGTGGATACTTTACAATAAAAATAGACATTTGGGACAGTGGCTCAACAAAGGAGAAACAGCAGAACATTTTCCAAAGCCCCAACTCATCAAAAAAAGGTGATGGTTACTGTTTGGTGGGCTTCATTTAGTTGGATACACTACAGCTTCTTAAATCCTGGAGAAACCATCAATGTTGAATCATATTGTAACCACATTAATGCAATACATCAGAAATTGGCAATAATGAAGGCATCTTTGGTTAATCGGAAGGGGCCCATTTTGTTGCATGAAAACGCCCGTCCACATGTTGAAAACGCACGATGTCACAAAAACTGTTGGAGCTTGGACATGAAACTCTACCACATCTGCCCTACTCTCCGAATCTCTCACCTACGGATTATAATTTTTTTAGACTCCTGGACCACTACTAACGTGACTAAAAATTTAATGGACAAAGGTGATTACAAAATGCCTTTTTGGAGTTTATCAATTCTTAAGACAGTAAATTCTATTCCGAGGGAATAAAAAAGTTGCCAACACATTGGCAGAAATATATTGATAGCAGTAGTGAATATTTTGATTAAATAAAACAATTGTAAATCTTTTTTTTTCTTTTTAAACCAAAATCCTGCATTATTTTCTGGATAACCCAATACATGCTCTACCCATTTAAACCTCCGTGCCTTCACATCATGAGATATTGATTGACCAGTTTCTGTATTTCTTATCCATTATTATTAGAGAAAATGAAAAGTACAATAACATTGTACAGCTGCTCAACTGTGTTGAGTTGCTAAATCACTCAGTATACTAATCAGTCATAATTGATACCATTTAATAAAAGAGAAAACATAGGATAAAGAAATATGGGACCATAATCCAATGTACCGAATGTTATAATTCATTTATTCTTATTATATTATTAATATAATATAATTCTTATCATATTCTTATTGAGTCTTTTTTTTACTATCCATAAATATATAGGAATTATAAGTAAAGTTGATCGATATGTTAAGCCTATTTATAGTGAAATGACGAAAGAAAACATCTTGAAGATAAATGAAAATATGGAAATGACAACTTGAGTGAAATGAAGTAGGTATATAAAGGTTACAGCTCTTTTTAGGATTAAACATTAACTCTTATATTGCAATTAAATATGGAATCTCTAACCCATAGACAACATTATTTCTGCAATAAATATACAAAATTATATACACACAAATATTAAACTTACTTACTTTAGTTTAAGTCTATAAAATGCTTGATTTGTTATAATAACAAATTTATCTTTTGAATAGTCAACACAAAACATTTTCAGGATTCTTTCGTTTTCTTTCAGGGCATATTCTTCCAATAAAGATTCTTGAATAAATTCCTAAAATAAAAAATGGCTTAATTGATTTATATGGGGCAAAAAAAAAAAAAAAAATACAGTCTAAAGTAACGCATTTATACAAAATGAATAAGAAGCCTCATTAATGACAAATCTGAACTCATTCATCCTTAAAAGATCGATTGGATACCATTCCTGATTTTGAAAGAAACTGTTTTGGCTAAAACTAAATTAGGCATTATGGTTAATCAATAACGAATACCTTGAAGAAATGCAAAGCTACAATAAATTTTTTGGTTTAAATTTGAATAACACAAATCAGCTTTTCTTTTTATGAGAAAACACAACTGAAATTACTTTAAAACAGTTGGATAGCTTTCATAATAGTTATATTTAACCTGTTGATGAAAATTAAATGAAGAATTATCTTTCATATGTTAGTGATCCATAAAATTTACACGTTTTATAATAAATTTTTTTATATTACTGTGAAGGGGAACCTAAAGAGTAAGTCCATCTACAAGACAATACAGGATCGAGGATAGATGGCCGGAGAGAGAGCAAGATAGTGATTTATATTAGGTGAGGTTGAATTAAAGGTACTGGACCTTTTGCTATGCACCTTGACATTGCAGTTGGTATTTATGTTATATTGTCTAGTTCATTAATTTATCTAAGAATGAAGATTTCTGTTGATATCATTTAAGTTAACCATTTGTGAGTCACTGTTATTTTCATAGAAATTACTCAACTGTGACACTGTAGTAAAATTAACTGTGACACTGTAGTGAAATTATGCCTGTATTATATTCTGTCGTTTATCAATGGTTATTGTACGGGATCGCATTATTAATGTAGCTAATTCCTACTCCCTTTATTAAGTTATTATATTATTTCTTATGTAATTGTATTCCATTATTTATAATTAGACCTTAAGCATTACTTATATTATTTATATTTATGCCTTATCCATTATTTATATTAGGCCTTATATTCCATTATTTATATGTATTTATTACAATACATATTGTTAGTAACTTATAGATGTTCTTTTCCTGGCTATAAAATAATGAGATTGACACTTTAAACATTTTTTCATTTATTTAATATATACTCATTAGTAGATGAAGTGGATCATTACATTAACTGATTATAAAATTTTGAGAAATCAATATCTTTTCAATTTGACACCTGTTGATTGTTTGTATTAGTAATGAATTAATTCCTTTGAAATAAATTCTTTCAAACATAAACAAAAGAGAGGATTATTCTCAGTTTAGTTCATTTACAGCTTGCGTTAACTTCATTTTATTTCTCGTAAACCTATTTTTTTTTTCACAAACCATTTTTAGTATTTTTATTAACCCTTTTTAAAAGTTCTTCTGGATATTAAAGAATGTCTGCACGTCTTACAGAAGTAGAGCTTGTAACAGCTTTGGAAGGAGGTGATACCCAAAAAAATTTGGAAGCAAGGCTATTAACCTCACAAAGTAGAGCATGGAGTTTACCAGGATAGTGATTCCTTTGAATATGCACATGGTGGAGGACATCAAAGATCTACAACAGTACAACAAGACCGATATTTGACTGCCCGGGTACGAAGAAATCGATTCAACACTTACGGAAGGCAAGCTAATGATTTGTTGTCTGCCTGTGATGTGCAAATTAGCCTTCACATAGTTAGAAGAAGGATGATAGAGCATGAATAGCACTAACAAAGACCTCTGCGCTTTTCAGGACTCCCCAAAACATAAAATTCAAAGACTTCAATTCGACTCACAGACTCAAAAGTTGTTCCTCTTAATGTAGATTTCACCTTATCAAATAGACATAAATAGCATAGCTCAAGATTTGGTGAATAAAGCGAACGGTCTAGTACTGGAATGCTGAACTTGGCTAGAAACTTCTTGACAGACAATACAGAAAGAGTTGGCACATTTTATCGGTTAAGAACCCCCAACTTGTCGAACTTCTACAATTTTTCCTTATTCTTTCACAGATTTCAGCCAGATCATGAATGTAGTAATTTTGATTAATAGTTAGACTGGATAATTAAATTTCCGTAAAATTAGTACAATATTTAATAGGATTATTTATCAAATCAAGAATAAATACAATTTTTTCCAATCTAATTGAAGAAAAAAAATAAAGTAACTTATTAAAATTACTAAATAAATCTTCATGTCTCATTTCAGACATAAATTTTAAAATCTCTAATAAGGTGACAAGTAAAATACTTACAGCATTAAGAAGATCAATATTTGTTTCTTCTTTGCACACAGAAAGTTTACGAGAAACTATTTTAATAGTATTCAAAAGTTTGTTGGTAAAAATGATAAAAGATTTTGTCAAGATTAAAAAACCAAAGTCATCAGGTAATTTGTGAACTGTTGTTACATGAGATGAGAAATCTTCTATCTAAAAAAAAAACAAACAAAAAACATTCAACTACATGCTATGAGTAACATATATACGACAGACCTAACGTAACAAATCTTTTTTAATGCTGTGATAAAATTAAATTAATGACCACTAAAATATTTTTAAAATAATTAGTTATTAAAAAAAAGAAATATCTTTTCACAAAAAAAAAAAAAAAAAAAAAAAAAATGGTTCTCCATTACATTTTATATAAGAAAATAAAGTATTATAAAGCAAGCTATTTCAAATTTAGACAGCTTTCAAATAATATTGACAAGATCCACGATCACATGAAATATAACAAGAAAAATCTTATTAATTATAATATGAATAATGCCTTAAATGTGGAGAAAAAAAGTGATACATTTTTTTTTCTTCTTGAATTAGAAGTGAGGAAATGGCCTCGTGATCTCCTCATGTAGACAAATTATTAGAGTGCTACCAATGGGTTTCTCAACAAGCGTGTTTCATGTGATTATATTCCTCTGTATACATTTACTTGATGTATTCATACTAATACAGTTGTAAATATCATAATAAAAGTTAAAAAAAAAAAAAGAATTAGAAGTACACAATGAGCATATTTGTATTATTTACTTGATGAATAAAAAAATATTTAGATTATAAGATATAAATTGATTGTTGCTCACTTTGTATAAACCATAAAGGATAATTAAAATGATATTTTTATAAAGCTACCTATAGTTAATAATAATAATATTCTGAGAGGTGTACAAAACCAAATGGCAGAAAATAAATTTTTAATCTAAATATTTTAAAATATGTAAATATATGCTCTTATCAGGTTAATTTTTTTAAATTCTTCAGAACACTTGAAAAAAACATGTTTATAAGAAACTGTTCACTATATGCAATATATTGGATATAATTAACATTACTTATAATTTAAAATATTTAATGGTCCTCATAAGTTCATTATAACAAGTGTCCGAGGCTCTTATACAGAGAATTAAATCATTCTATAAGACCTACAGAAACTATATTAGAATCCCATCAAACATCTGCTGAATTTGTCACAACAATGAGTCAGGCAGGGAGACATACGGAACCCTCTATATTTCATCACCCTCATGGATGATGTTATTAAAGAATGTAAGAAGAAAATCAAAGAGACACCACTTGGATATTAATGGTAATTGCAACTAGCCAACTGCTTATTGTTTGCATTTGCTGATGACATTATGTTAATAGCTGACAGTAAAGAAAAGCTATGGCAAATTTAGATATCTAGACAGAAGAGTTAGCAAAAAAAAAAAAAAAAAAAAAAATATTGTCATTAGCACTTCTAAGAACAAATGTATGCCGGTGTCCAGAAACAAGAAGAATTTTGGGATTCATATTAATGAGGAGATAATAGAGTAGGTTCCTATGTTCAAGTATTTGGGTGTGACGATCAGTGAGAGCGGGAAAATCAGACAAAATTAATACATGAGTTACCACTTCAGGAAGAATGTTCTCTGCTACCAATAGGAATTGAAAGGTAGAAGAGATTATTGAATAAGAAAAAGTTCATAATAATCAATTTTGACTGCATAAATAAATGAAATAGAAATGATTAATTTACAGAATTAAAATTATATGATTAAATATTTATAACAATTATAAACTATTTAAATAAATACTTTAAACATTCTATACAGTTATTTATATAGAAAACTAAAAGATATTTAATTATCTTAAATAGAAATTAACACGTTAGCTGCTGAGCATATCTCCTAAATATCTTTCCCGACGATACTGGTCCCTGGCGACCGACACTAGTTATGAAGTTCCTAACGGCATCGGACATCGGAGACATGCATTCGAGGTATACCAATATTTTTCGACAACAAAGGTGAACTAAATTCTCTATTCAGAGTCTTTATCTGTTGATTGTGTCCTCATTAATGGCCAGCAACCGTAGGAGTGGACTTCGATGTCCGATGCCGTTAATATAACATTTTTTTATTATTTCTCTTTATTTTAGTAAATAAGTGTTATTTTTAGAGATATAAATATTAAATATTGAAAATGAAATGAACTAAGTTTATTTATTACATATAATTATAATTTTCAAGATATATTTTATACATTATTGATATGTATGTTATTTATTTATACAAGTTAAATAAGCAAGGGAAACAATCTAAGATGAACTGCGCAACAGAAGCCCGAAGAAAAGAAGACCATGTATGTGCATTGTCCTGCCACGGCAATCAGGGAAATTATTTTTTATCAGTCTAGTACGGTATCGGTTCCCGGCGTCCAAAAACTTTTTATCAGATATAATGATTATTTACGCTCGTATCTTTACATCTATCCAACTCCCATTAAATATTTTTAAAAATTACCATTTTAGACTTCATAAGATAGACAAAATTTGAAACAATACCGGCCATATGGTAGTCAAGAAGAATATCAGACCGTAACCACAGCTAACGTGTTAAATAATTCAATTATGTTTTAATTTATATTTACATATATATATATATATATATATATTTAATGTTTATTAAAGTAAACTATTTTTTACTTCAGTATAATATATTTTAATGAATAAAATAAAGATGATCAATTTATGTAAATACATTTTCTTTTGATAATAACTTCAAAGTTTCTTGAGAATATTACATTCTAATTTGTAGAACATAAAAGAGGCACAGAATGATGAAAATCCAAGAGTGTTGGGCATGATTTCAATAAGCTAAGCTCTATTTAATTCTGGAAATTTTACAGGGAAGGAGGCATTTGTGTCATCAAATGGTTATATTCTATAGCAATTTGAAAAATGAAAAGAAAATTGAACAGTTTGGACATATATGGGATGGAAAAACTAAAACAACAAAGCCATGAGTCTCCAACATACAAGTGAATAGTTAACTTGCCAACGTTTCATCAATTGAGGAATCATCAAGCACAAAAACCAAGATCACGTATATGCAGGAAGAAAAAACAAAAAAAAAAATAAATAATAAAAAAAAAATACAAATTATTGCAGTACACATCTCATTAAGCCATCCAAATACATACTGAAGATTCTATTAACAACAATTAAGGAAAGTTATATTGAACAGTTGATTAGATGTAATACAAGAGGAAATTTAAAAAAAAGTATAACTAAAATATGATAATACAAAACTTGTTAAATTAAATAATAAAAATAAATAAATAAAATTATTTTAAAGAAATTCATAATCTTTTTAATTTTGTTTGTTTTGTTTTTTCTTTCTACATATATGTGATGTTGGTTTTTCTTCCCTGATGATGTCTGAATTGGCAAGTTAACTATTTACTTGTATGTTGGAGACTCATGGCTTGTTTGGATTTTTCCATTAATAACATTAATTGCTTAATTTCAAATTACTTACCGTGACAATTCTTGAAGGATATTTAGCAGATAAGCAAGAGTTATGTACAGTTAATAACGTTTTTATGACACTTTGTAATTTGACATTTAACTGAAATGGTGTTTCACATGGAATGGTTTCTTCTTTACTACATTCGACTGAAAAAAATTGTATACATACATTAATATGGATAATTTAGAGACTAGAGGGAGAGAAGTAGAAAGAGGAGAGGTGGGAACTTAATTTATAACAAAGAATGTACCAGAGAAGTTAACTGCAGGCTTTTTAAATCTTTGTTTAAATTTCATCTTCCAATGTCTAATATCCTTCTCTGTAGTAATATGTTTCAATTCAATTGAATCAACATGATCCTCTCTGGAATTCCTAAACAAAATTTATCTTATATTCATATGAAAAATTTATTTATTATTGGTTTAATTATTCATGATCATCTACTTACAAAGTTGTATCCTGCTTGTTTTCTTTTTCAACTGGGTCAAGGATAATACGCCACTGGAAACCATGTTCATTAGTAATCTGGAACAAATGTAATTAAGCATATTAAAAATAACTATAAATAATAATAATTTATTTATTTATTCTGGAACGAGTCCCTTTAGAATAAATAACATGGACAAAAATGTGGGCTTTTGAGCCTCAGATATATATAAATGTATTTATAAAGTAAAGCAATAGGTATAATGAAAAAAAAAAATCTTTTAACTTAAATCAATAAAGAAGAAAAATAAATCAATGAAATGAACATAAACTAATAATATATATACATATTTACAGAAATTTTTATTTACAATTTTATAGGGACTGGATGGTAAGGAAGTGATTGAATAGGCAGGATTTAAAAGTAGGGAGAGTATTGAAACGACGGATGTCAGGAGGGATGGAGTTCCATAGGGATGAGGATCAAATAATAAAAGATTTATCGAAAGCAGTGGTTCGGTGGGCCATTATATATAAATCTGAAGACAGGGAACGGGTATTGCAGAAATGAACAGAGGATTTAAATTGAAGAAGCTCGGAGATGTATGAAGGACAGCGGGAGTGAATGACTTGGAAGGGAAAGGAAATACTTAGGGTGGTAGGAAGGATAAAGCCACTTTAACTCTTCATAAAAACAGGAAAAAGGGGCGTCCCTTGGGGTTTCGAAGATGAATCATACAAAGCAATTTACCAAACGTTTTAGTTTTGCCTCGATATCCCCAGAGACGCCTCCATATACCGTTCAGCAATAGTCACAGTGGGGAAATATTAAGGACGTGATCAAGAGTCTACGGGTTTCGAAAGGAAAAAGGTGACGGAGGCTATTAAAATGTTTTAAGGTGGAAAAGGTACGTTGGGAGATATTGGATACATGGTTTTTCCAGGAAAGGGTTTGATCAAAGATTATTCCAAATATCATGTAATTTACAAAGTTCTCCTCTTCTACTAACACAGGGTGTTGCTCAGGGGTCCTCACTGTTGCCAATCCTTTTCTCTATCGATCTTAACAAAACAATCTCCCTAATTTTTTTTCACTATTAACAATACCACCTTTATGCTAATGACCTCCAAATTTACCTATCCTTTTATCCTACTCAGTCGCTCAAGACAATCTGAAAGTTATGGGAAGATTTACAAGGGGGCCACACAATTACTACACAAGGAAAGTAACGTCATTTCTGTGCATGCCACTATTTGAAGTCATTTTTCAGCTGATTGTGTACATCAAAGATGCGGAAAAGACATTCTAAGGTTAGAGTGACTTGTTTAGTTGTTATATAATTAAATTAATTCTTTTTTTTTTGCAATTTGGGGTGAAATGGCCATCCAAATATCAGAAGAAATACATATCCGGATATGCATGCTTTTTGAGTTTTCCAATGATACTAATCCAACAGTTGCTACCAAGAACATTTGCGATGTTTACAAGGGTGGTTTTCCAAATTCAAATCTGGTAATTTTGATCTTTCTGACTCGTATGGATCAGAAAAATCACCGACGTCAAACAATGACGTATTAAGGGTGGAAGTGAAAGCAAATCTTAAACAGACAATCGAGGAATTGTCAAACAGTCTTAACCAACCTTAATCGCCCATCCACCATACCTACTGATCCACCATAAGTAACTTACTGCTTTAACAACACAATAAAGAAACATTTTTTGATCACTTATCACCAGAGATGAGATAAAAAATGGGTCCTCTATGATAATCCAAACCGCAAAAGGCAGTGGCTCTCTCCAAATGAATCACCATGAAGTACTGACTGCTAAGTCAGATTTATACCCCAAAAAGGCCCTTTTGTGTGTTTGGTGGAGTATTCGTGGCATTGTTCATTTTGAAGTGGTGAACCCAGACCTTTACTGTGAAAAAGTAGATTATATAAATCAATCTTTAATTGAAAAGTGGCCAGCAAATGTGAAAAGAAAAGGCGTTATTATTCAACGATAATGCAAGTCCGCACAGCGAAAGAAGAACCCTAGAAAAATTTAATGAATTGGGATGGGAGGTACTGCCTCACCTATCATACTCGCCCAATGTTGCACTATTGGATTACCATTTATTCCGATCGCTTCAACACTTTTTAAGTGACAAAAGATTTACAAATTTGGATGATATTCAAAATGACATCTCTATGTATTTTGCTCCAAAACCAATAGATTTTTATCGATACAGTACTGAAAATATGCACACTAGATGGCAAAAGATTGTTCATAATGAGAGTAATTAAATCATTGATTAAAAATAAAAACTCGTTAAAAATTTATGTGTTTAAATTTAATGTAAGAAAATGACATTACTTTCCTGTCCCCTATTAGTTTATATCAACACATGGGAAGTAAACAATGGTTTGAGGCTAAATGTCAAAAAAGCCAAAGTCATTCTTATTGGTTCTACTCACGTCCTTAATTCCCTTTCTTTTCACCCCTTACTTTACCTTAATGGCCTAGACCATTGTATGGTATATCCATTTCCGCATCTATATTAGAAACCCTAAAGTAATTTTAAATCAATAATTAAACATTAAATCTATCCTTGAACCAAATTATCCACTATTTATGCTATATTATGCTATTCTTAAACAGTTTCTATGATTTCATGATTCCAAGCCCTTAAGATTATTAATTTTAAGCTAATTACAAATTTATTGTAACAACAAAATTCAAACATGTAATGCAACAAGCACAATATTTTAACAAAACAAAAAAAAAATTTTTTTTAGCCTTTCATCCACAAGATTATTGGAATTGTAGTTCCGAAGATGGGAGTAAATATCCTGAAACGTCAACTAACTTGTTAACATGTAACGTTGATAATAGAAATATACTCAATTGTTACCAATTGGAAGTTATTATTGCCAAATAACTAAAAATAATTAAACATTAAATCTATCCTTGAACCAAATCATCCACAAATCTATTGCTATTCTTAAACAGTTTCTATGATTTCATGATTCCAAGCCCTTAAGATCTGCCTTGATTGTCATTGAATAAGAAAACCAAGGTACTACGAAGATGGAATAATCACTTCAAACACCTGCTTAACGAAAATCAGGCACAGGTAGCCCAACAGGGAGAATTTGGCTTTAGTCGAACTCCTGAAGATTAACTCGAGCTGGTAGATGAAGAAGAAGTAGTGGGAAGTCGTTAGAAAACAACAAGCTATCAGGCTTTGACAAACTGTCCATCACATTATACAAGAAAAGGGAAGATCAGCTTTTCCAAGAATAAAACTATTTCCTTGTTTTGATCTAGACTGAAGAAAACATTCTGACATCTTGGAATAGGAAGGTTTTCTGTCATATTCACAAGAAGGGAGACATTTTCAAGTGCAATAATTATCGAGAAATCTTTCTTCTGCCATGTATATATAAAATTTTCTCTAAAATATTGTACCAATGATTGCTACCTCATTTTGGGAGAATATCGATAAGACTTTCGTAAAGGTTAGTCGACAACAGACCAGATAGTTGCTGTATGAACCATTTTAGAGTGAGGAATAGAATACTAGATCCAAATTTAACATTGATTTGCTGATTTTAGATCTGCTTACTACAGCATTCAACATGAAACTCTTTATCAAGGAATAAAAGACCTTGATTTTCCTATTAAGCTCATCCACCTGGTAAAACTTACAATGAACAATAATAAGTATGTTGTGCGAGTTCAAGGGATCTAGCTAAATGATTTACTTAAGATAATGGCATTTGATAAGGAGATTATCTTGCTTGTCTGCTCTTCAATATGCTGGTAAAATAGAAGATATGATGGGCAGATGGTGTTGAACATTGTTGAACCATAGCCCAATTTTGGAATTGGAAAACAGTCACACACCAATTAAATTGGCGGAAGCTGCTTATTACTCAGAAGAATACATCGATAATATTTGCTCAAAAATCAAAAGATCAGGATGTTCACGCCTTATTTGTCCATTTTAATGCAGCATATGATTCTGTGGAGAGAAAGTGTTTGATCAGGAATGAGCTGGGAATTCATGGGACACTGATGAGGTTAAAGAACATGTGTCCTAATGATATCCAAGCCGAGTTCTGATACAATGAGAAGTATCTGAAGCGTTCGAAAGGTTAGAGATAGCCATATGGACTCTCACAATGAAGTCCAACTTTGTTCTGAAGAAGGTGATAAATACATCATAAAAATGGAGAGGCATGCTATAAAATCTGAGAGCTATAGGAGTCTATTGTAAAATTTTTAGTTAGACGGATGACATAGCTGTCCTAGGAAGCAAATAAACCAACAATTAAATAATAATATATGATAACCAAAAAATCCACTAGCATCTGCTAGAAGAGAAACAGTTTCCTTTGATAGTATCAAATACCTCAACAGTTACCTTGATTTCAGTTTATAAATTTTATTTATTCATGTAGATTATTTGTTATTGATTTTTATTTTTAATCACAATATTGAGGGCGCAATACTCACTCCCTCCCAAAATTTTCAGCCATATTTTATTTTTGAATCATGGAATTAGTAGTGGGCAGATATTTAAAAATATTACCCATCATCTAAATAATTGTAGTAATAAATAATAAACATGAAGTATTTAAGTGATACTAAGATGTTTATAAAGAAAAACAAAACAATAAATTGACTACTACTTTTAAATTTTAACACAAATTATTTTATGATATCATTCTTTTCAGATGATAAATAAAATATAGATAGATAATAAGAAATAGAACCACTGAATATATTTTTTACCTTTGATAATAAATCTAAACATGAGTACTTACTATAATATAGACTTGTTGTACTGCATCGCACACTTCTATCAATTTTATTCGTCCCTCTACTTTAGTCTTGAAAAGAATATCAGCAGTGAGAAGAGTAAATACTATAATATGTCCCGAGGTTGATCCTAAGATTCCAATATGCCTAGAATAAAAATATAAAAAAATTTATTATACAAAAAATATTTATAAAAAAAGTATTATTTGTGAGAAATTTAAGTTAACTGTTTGTTAATTTTATGAGTAAACTGCTTTGGTCATTATAATGTTTTTAAATATTTCATTAAAAATAAATTAAAAAAAATAAACTTAAGAAAATAATCCAGCAGAAATAGAGTACCCATAAAATACGAAGAATGAAGCTATCTTCTAAATTTTAATATTTTGAATAGTTAATAGAATATAGAGATCTAACAGAAGAAAAAGAAAATATAACTTTTTTCTTTTACCCCTATCTGGCAACTATGTGGTGTGGATATCTAATAAGTAACCAATCTATTCTAGAAAGAGTGGGAATAGTGAGATACATTCCTGGTATCCATCAAAATGAAAATTTCAATCCCTATAAGCCGGAATGGAACTGGCGTAGCTTGACTTCAGGTTGTTAAGATGACTCCTAAACACTTTCAGTCAGCACAACTTCCAAAAAAGTTAGGAGCTAAACAAGAACAGTAGTTAAAACAAACTATGAAAGATAGCTAATTCTGACTTTGGTTTGCTCTATTCCACCAATCCAAGAGTTAATCCATAGATGAAGGAAACAAAAAATTACACATTTATCATTCTACAAATTGAGTTGTCATTTACTTGATGGGGAGGAACAGTAATTAACTTTTTTAAAAATATTTTAAAGGTTTTACAATAAAGTTTTTATAGTACTTTTTTAATAAATGGTTTCTCTCAAGAAGTTCAAGATTCAGTCCAAACTTTTAAATTTTGAAAATTAATTTAATTAGACAAAGTTTTGGTCCTTGGGATCAGGCTATAAAAGTTTTATGATTGATCCAGTTATAGAGGCCCATGCCTGTTCTGATATGCAAGTTTGTTTAGAGCATATATTTTCTGTAATGAAAGGGTCTGCCTGAGTAAGATGTGCCCCAAAGTGATAATTACCTACTGAATTACAAATGTATACAATCTTGAAACAAAATCCTACCACCCGAATTTCAGAGCTATAGTGCCCTCCTATATTATAAAATTATAATATATTTATTACAATAAATATTTTTATTTCAGATTTTTTTTTCTAAAAACGTGCAATGAATAATTAAAATAAATAATTTAATAAATATATATATATATATATATATAATATATAATTTAAAAAAATATCTTGGTTAACTTTTATAGAAAAAATTGGATACAATATTTAAAATAATTATTTTAAAAAGAAAAGATTCAAGTTGATTAAAACGTAAATTAAAGGTTAAAATTTAGTACTGCACAAACTCATTAAACATCAAAATGTTGACTTACACTTTTGGTTCTTACATTTCATCATTTAGACATCAATTGAAATTATAGCTACTTACTAATCAATTACATGTCTTTACTCCAAATAATTAACTCCTGACTTTAATATAAATCAGTAAAAAACTCATCAAGAGACAGAAATTCAATGTTAGGTTGTAAATGGAATTAATACTGGTTATAATTATTAAAATTTAATTATTCAGGTTAGGTTATAATATTAAAAATGAATACAGGTTTACTTGTTACAATATCACACTTACCATGACATAATACTATAACTAAAGGTTTATAATAAGTAAATCGAAAATTTAATAAACCAGGACACTGCGGCAAGTATGAAAATAAAGTATATATATATTTTCAAATTCCTGGTATAAATATACAATGTGACAGAGTTCAGCTACCTTTCCACATTGTTCGGGTAGTCATAGAAAATGTCCCAACTACTCTACTTAGTTGCGTCAATTTAGTTTAACAGACATGTTAAAAAAAACAACAATTAAAATCAACCCAATCACTCAGAATTAGACAAAAAGTGCCCCTCATACATAAAAAAACTTACTTTAACTACTGAAAACTAACTAAAATACAAAATTACTACTTATCTCATTACAAGATTATGGACTTGAAAATTCTACATGTAAACACACACAGTTCTCTACTAAAGACTACTTAAATTACTTTATTCAAGAAAAAAACATTGATATAACTCTTATACAAGAAGCGCACACTAGGAACAACTGTGTTACATGTTATACTCATAAATTACAGATTTATCAAACATATTTTGAAAACAAGAGCAACCATAATATTTAACAACAAATACATTGACACAATTTTACTGACAGAGTATAGTAACCCGTACTTTTGTACAGACGAAATTATGACACTCACTGGCCTTCAAAAAGTAGAAGATAGGAGAGACATCAAACTCCTTAACGTAAGAATAAAAGCAAACTGTATTCCAAACCATCCACTAAAAAAGAAAGTTGAAAAAAGAAATCACACTCGGATAAAGCGTGAAAGTCCTCTACATAAAACTGCTCAACTAATTGATAATCATCCCCAAAGTAATATCAAAGCAGAAGCCGTGAAGCTTGCTGAAGACTCTCCGCCTTGGACACAAAGGATCAGACCAAAAATCAATACAAAGATACCAGGCACAACAAAGAAGAGTGACCCATATACTCTGGTAGCCAAAGCCTATACTCTAGAGCACATTAACTTAGCCTATCCTAAGAATAAATGGACGAGGGTATATACAGATGGGTCTGCTGAAAATGCCATTACAAATGGAGGAGGTATTCATATTGAATTCCCTAATTGACACATTCTCCAAAAAGCTCTCCCCACTGGACTCATCTCAACAAACTATAGAGCTGAGCATGAGTCCATTCTGACTGCAGCCAAGATCCTAAAGGTTCTTAAGAGATATCCGCTGTCATACATTGTATTCCTGACAGATGCAGCATCCATTCTTGAATGCCTAAAAAATAAATGGAAGAGTTCGCTGGGCACATTGGCTGAGGAGCTGGAAGATCTAAGAGCTCAGTACCAAACCAAGAAGTGGTTTTACAATGGATTCCAGGGCACTGTGAGGTTGCTGGGAATGAAATCGCAGACCGATTGGCAAAGGAAGGAACACTGCTCCCCCAAATTAGCAGCTTACCTAGGTTGGAGGAGTGTAAAACTATTAATAAAGCAGCCATAAGCCAAAGATGGAAAGTAAGTCACCCAAATCATAGCCCCCATGGCGATTATTTCAAGCTTACCAGAAGAGAACAGGTTGTTGTTTTTCGCCTCAGAACTGGACATAACCATTTGAAATCAAATCTCTTCAGGAAGCTCAAGATAGAACCCAGTCCCCTGTGTGAATCTGGCCAAAATGAACAAATGACAGAGCACATTCTGCAGAACTACCAGCTGGTGGAGGACATACGGAGGCAGATTTGAATCCACAGACCTTGGGACCAAGCTTTTCGGAAGTCTGGAGAACCTAAGGAGGATCACTAATTTTATATTTTTATTTCCTGACATAGCCATTCAGAGGGAAGAACGAATAATAAGAAGAAGAATTATGATAAAGCACAATAATTTTTTTTTATTTACCACAGTTAAATGAATTTATTGTGCTTCAATAGTTCTTACTTTGATTAAACATTGGGTATTAACAAAGATCTGGCCAAAATTCTATGTATTACGAACTGTTACAGTATTATTATAGAACTTTGGGAATAGACACCAACTGCATGTCATTCTTTTATAATGATATTAAAACCGACCCTAGGTCTCAAAAAGTAGAATCATTCATCAGCAATATTAAAATGATAACATTAGGAAGAAACTAGAAGATACTGAATGACTGTAACTTTTCAAATCACAACTATATTTACTAGGAAATTCTGGCAAAATAACAGGCAGACTCTAAATAAATAGAACTTAAAACTGAAATTCTTACATGAAAAAAAAAATTAGGAAACCTCCAAGAAAACTTTTATCTTCCAACTCAATTTAAAATTCTTAGCTTGGATGCTCACCAAGTTCAACTTTCAATACATAATTAGGAAAAATCATCAACATCCTCAATTACAATATAAACAGCATTACTAACACTTTTCACAAGGCAGTTATCAGAACCTGCAACACAATATTCAAAACAACTAAGACAAAATTTTCAAAAATAGACCTCACCTAATAGTACCTATGAATAATCATAAATAAGATATCTGAAGTGAGAAAAAAGAATAATAACAGACTGATACGAACTTACCAAAAGACGAAAGCAAACAATAATTTAAGAGAAATATACAAAAAACTTTCTTTGTTTGAAAAGAGTCAAATACTAAAAATACCTTAGCATCACACATACATAATGACTTTCCACCCTTATCTCAATAAAAAAATCTCTCCAGCTAAGGTTGATTTGATTAGAGTTTGTTCTAATTTAATTCTCAATAATAATTTTTTACTTAAAGGTAAACTCTAGATTCTTTACAGTGTATCGTGGTCAGTCATCTGTTATGGACTTGAGTTAGTGAATTTTAGGCTAAAAAAATTTAAGAGATTCTTCCTTAAAAATTCCACTTCTTTCTCATGCACTATTTAAAACTATTTTCAAGAAACCAATTTCTGATCTCTGATTACTAGAGCCTTGAGACCGAGCAGTTAGTCACTAAATTGCAGTTCAGGGATCTCCAGTAGCTTTTCAAATTGAGAGCTCAGTTTCTGTACCTACATTGTAGGTCATGGGTAGACCTGGAACCTGATCACTTTAAAATATTACTGATAGTATTATTAATGAAGTAATAAAAATACTAAATGTATTACTGAGCGTGTGAAATAGATTGATGGAGTGAAGTCCTATACTGAGGAATGGTCCTTCAGTAGATCATTCTTCAATATAATAGCGGAAAGGAGCAGAGATATTGACAGTATTATTGATTGTAAAAAGGGATTTCTTCACTCCACTCATAATTCCTCAGTACTTGTAGAATCAAGTGGCTGGTACCTATACAGTTTATCCCCATTATTTATCATATTTTATAATTACAGGGAGCCCAGTGTAACTATTATTGTTATATAATTGGTAATTGGTTGACTGTCGTAGATAATGAAGAGAAGAATATTTGGGGTGGTCAGTCAAAAAGGAAGGCAAAAATAAATGATAACGTC